CGCGCATTGTCGGAGAGGCGGTGCCCGCGACGGCTCGAGGAGCAGCGGACCCAATGACAATATGGCGTCATAGCGATCTTTGATTCTCACACTTGATGGCTGTCGTCAAATCGGTCATGATTGGCGGATGGCCCTGATCGGCAGCCACGCGCCTCCCGCTGCCGGCGTCGGGCCGGCGCCAGTGCTCGGCGCGCGGAGGTCGTGATTTCGACGGCTCGCGTGGGGGGAGTTGCGGGAATGGGTTGGTGGACGGGAGACCTGGCCTCAGCGCGAGAAAGCAGGGGCAGGGAACGCCCTGGACCCGTTGGGCGACGTGGATCCATTTGTTGCAGGGAGAGTGGGGCCCCCAAGGGACAGTAAAAGTGCTCCCACAGATTGCCACCCAGGCGTCTGGCTCTCGGAAAATTCAGGGCGGGAGGCCGACCAATGCGACACCCACGAGGCGTCACCGTTTGGAAAATCGGCCCAGGAATGCAGGCAGAACGTCCAGAGGGCGTTCATTCTTAACGGTTTGAGAAACAAAATAATTGCATCTTTTCACTGACTGCAATGTGTTCATGGCGCAGGCGAGGCACCATGCGTCCTGGAGCGGGCGCCACGGCAGTCATCGTCGTCGCTGCCGCCTTGCTGGCGTGCGCGCGAGGTGAGCGGCGGTGGCGCGCTCGTGTCAATGTCGGAAGAATTGTACAAATCTAGTCACGTGGGTGATAGCGATGCTGCTCAGTGCTTTTATCACTGAGGGGACGCTTGCTGCGACCTCTTCTCAATGGTGAACATGCCGCCTTGCCACGTAGCCGCCACTCATCACCCATATATACCGTCCATTCTGACTGGTGAACTGTATATATGTCACAGCTAATTGTCTGCACGAATCACATACATTTGGGCACGGACAATGCATGACACTGTAGACGCGGCGACATGTGGCTGTACCTTGCATCGACGCGGTATTCAACGTGCACAACGCGGCTGCTTCTTACGCGTGCAAGCCCCCCTCTTTCAGGGCAGTACGGCGACTACGCCTACGGCGACGGCTCCGCAGTTGGCGTGTACGGTTACGGCGGCGGGTACTACGACGATGGCGGTGACGGATTCAGTGACAACGACAAAGGCGACGACGGCGACTACAGCGACGTGTACGGCGGCGACTACGGCAACGCCGTGGGCCCTCAGTTCAACTCACCGGCATGCGAGTGGGTGTGCAAGGATCCCAACGAGTTCGAGACTCCGCTGCCGCCGGAGCCCCTTTTCGAGCTGAACCGGGCCCACGACTGGGGCATCGTCCTCCTCAACCAGGTGGGGAAGCAGACTCGGTGGTGCGGCAGACTGCGACCATTTGTGCTCAATGGTGCGGTTGAGTTTACGTCCACCCTTTGAACAGACGTTCTGGGAAGTTCAGCAATGGACTGCGTTGGCAGTGCACATGCCCGGGGATTGCTGGCCAATTGATGCCAAGAAGTTTGGAGTAGATTTGAATACCAGTTTTGTCATCTATGCAGAGCGGTCGTGTTGCCGTGTGCTGAAGTTGAGGGCGGTAAGAGAGGAATAGAGTACGGGCCAAGCTCAACTGCGCCAAAACACGGGACTAACGCATTTGCATGGAAGGGGCCCGCTGACAGCGTATAATGTGTGCCTGTGTTCACAGATCCAACAGAATCTCCCAAGGCTGTCGCCGCCAGGAGTGTCGCGCATCATAGGCATTTTCAGCTCTTGCATCCACGACGCCGTTGCCTACGACGAGGCCTATGGCATGAGACCGGTCTACGCTAGCAAAGCGTCTTTCGCACCAGGTACCCAGTCTGTACAAGGCGCTTCTCAAGACGCCTTCCCCGATTAATGAATGCGCCCGCTTGGCCGGTGTCTTGTTGCTGTGAGAAATGCCCACTGCTGAGGCGGCGAACTTTACGGTGGACGGCGCAATTGCAAAATGTATTGAAAACATCGCTCCATCGACGCACGCCAGGTCCACGAGTTCGGCAATGACTCAGCAGTGCGAGAGCACGTGCAAATCAATGCGGGTCGTGCACAACGCCAGTGCGTCCACAAATTGACCTCATGCATCTCAGCCCCGACCCAATTCATCAAGCGACTCGGAACTTAGGTGCATGAGATACATGCTGAAGTGTGTCGGTGTTCGCTGACTAGTGGCGATCTCTGATGGCAATCATCAGCATTCATGTGGTGACATCTGGTCATATCTCTGAAGCGTCATATCTGTCACAGGTCTGATGATATCTCTAATGATATCTCTGATCATGACATCATGACCAGACACTGACCATGATTAGAGAGCAATCATGAGTGGCCATTCACCGCCTTGCAGGTTTGGAGCTGGATCGAGTGATAGACGGTGCCGCCTTTACGGCCCTGCAGGCGGCCTTCGGAAGCGATGCATCTTTCCAGGCAGCCCTTGACTTCCTGGACCGCGTATCGGAAGCATCGGGCGGGGGGAGAGGGCGCCATGGTGGGAACATCCCGTTCGATTTCGGCTCCCGCATTTGCGGGGAAGTGATTGAGATTTTCACGGCCGACGGTTTCAAGGTCGACGGAAATCCTCTGCCAGGTGTGTCACAGTTCCTTAAAGATGCTTTCGAAGAAACAAACCGGTGTCCTTGCACCTTGTAACTACAGGGTGTAAGGATGCCGTTTTGTCCACAATGCAATTAAGGCTGTAGTTATGGTAACTGAGGCAGTGGTTGTAGCTGCCTGTAGCTACAAGGTGCAAGGGCACTGGTTCGTCGTTGTCGCCTATGGGCGACGGCGGGCGTGTACACACTCAAAAATGTCTTTGTGTCGGTCATCCACTCATTCTGTGTGGTGGGGCATTGCTGCATGGCTAATGTCGAGATCTTGTTGAACTTGTTGGCACAAAATGTGCTAAGTAGTGAAACAACTGAGCAGCAGCATATTGTGGGCCCACTGGGTTTGGGGGGCCTGCAGGGGTGCGACACCGAACGAGAAGGGCTGGGGATTGGACAAGGAGATGGGGGAAAATACACGCTGAATAACAGGCAATGGTACTCCACCAATAAAGCTAACCTATTACAAAATTCGGCAGGGCATTCCTACGTCCTCAAGAATATGCAGGTCTGGATTTCAATTTATGTGTAGCATTCTCGAAAAGCTCATGAATCCACGGCTTGCCGATATCACCGTGGCTATGTGCGTCGAGCTTATTGCGCAAAAAAGTACTTGGCGCAACAGACGGAGGCGCAGCAGAGCGTCCTAAGCCGCCAAAAGAGCTATAAATCCCTGCTTTTTTTGCCCAAATTCTGAACAGTATTGAGTTAAGCACAGCCATGTCGAATTGAGGCTCACCACTTTTTTCTTTGCAGGCAATGGTTTCGAGCCTTTTGTGCCATACAACTCTCCCCAGCTCACGCCAGGCATCACAAACTGCGAGGTGGAAATTAAATCGTCGGATTACTGGCAGCCTCTGTGCGTTCCAACGTTCTTCGGGTCCCAGGACTGCAATGTGAGTGCAAAGGAATGTCCCTATTTATTGAATTACATCATTTTATTTACGCGTCAGTTTTGATCAATTGTATCAAATGGTATTTAGCATTTTGGGAGCCAGCATGCCGTCCCATTACTGGTGAAACAGATGCGTCCATTTTTCTCCAGTGTGTGCCATTTCAGGTATAAGCAAGCACAGTAAAATTGTATGCCCCGCAGCAACTTGTCTCAACAGAAGACTCCTGACACCTGTTTCCGGCAAGAAATGTTTGCGACCAGATTTTGCGCTTTCTTTGGCCGCTGGTGCTTAAAGGTTGTATTATTGTGTTTGCCTTTTGCCACGGCCAGTGGCAACAGCATGAATACAGATGTGCTTTATCAAGATGCAGCACAAGCAGAAACGAAAACCTCACAGTCGAATCGACAATATACGGCAGGCGAAAACGTGCTGCAGGAAGATGCGGTTGGTGTCGCCTGGTGTGATCCACGATGGACGCCACACACCATTAGAAAACAGCCTATTCGCGATGCCAACTGCGATGCCATTTTGACACGAATTGATGCCATCACAGACGCTTTCATGCCATCACACTCACTGTGATGGTATCAATTTGTGTGGTATGTGGCACATGTGGCATCGCAGCTGGCATCGCAAACAGGCTGTTTTCTACCAGTTACAGGGGACCATACACCGCACCAATATGCCATATACTCGGCTGACGCTGCGGAGTCCTAATGCTGGAGCTGTGTTTGCAGCTGTGCTAGATTTATATCTAGGGTGGAAAGAAGTAGTAATGGATACTGCTGTGTGATCTGATTAGGTGCAAGGCTTCTTGTCTCCAGATGCGGGCGCATGGACGAGATTTGCTCTCGTTTCTGGTGATGTCATGAGACCTTTTCCGCCCCCTTATTACGCGCAAGCCCCGGACGAGTATCTAATACAGGTGTGTACAGGTGGCGCTGGGCGCCTGCGCCTACTTAGCCTCTCATGCTGCAACCCGTTTACCAGATTCCACAGATGTCCTTGTCTGTTTTCGAAAATTCAGCCACAGACTACATGTCGCCATTGCGATCCAGCTAACATGGCAGTGCGATAGTGCCATTATTTGCACACGTGAAATGCAATTCAATCACAAAGAATCTTCAAATTTGAAATTTGATATGTAGACAATACAAATAGACATTGTACCAATTTGTGTAGGTTATCCACTTGTTCAATCCAATTTTCAGACTACAATGCACTATATATTTGCGCCCTTTTTATCACATTATTTTGTGTTCTGTCGGCAAAAAGAAGGTTGCGAAATAATTGCAAAAATACATATGACAATTTAAAAAAGTGCAAATCTTCACATACAATAACTTGTTCATGTACCACATCACAAAACACCGAAACCTCTGAGAATAAGGTTGTGCTCCTTGGGCAGTGATGCTCGTAGACTTTGTGGGTATAGATGCTAATCTCGCTGCAGTCTCTACTTGGGCGGTGTATGAGATAACATTTCTGCATTTCGGGCTCTCCTGACTTGCAGTGCGTGCCCTAGGCGCGGGAGGTGGTGGACTTCTCCGCTGGCCTTACGGATGTGAACAAGATGCTTGCCGAGTTCTGGGCAGACGGACGTGACACCACGGCTCCTCCCGGGCACTGGTACAGGATCGCGCTGGACGCAGCTGTCAACGAGGTAATGACGGCATCCAGATCAATTGATGTTTGCGGTCCCCAGCCTTGCAAATCTGTTTTTGAGCCGCCGATTTTGACTGTGCATGGCATTTAAAGGATGCGGCAGGTGTGCTTCTGCCTGCGTATTTCCGATCCTCCTATCCAACAACGTAAAAAGAGGGAACTGCGTTTGGAGGGCGACGTCGTGCATTGGGAGAGGGTGAAATCGTATGCCGCACTGCTTCTGTGAGATTGAGCGGGATTATCATTCACATTGACATGATATATTCTCCTTCATCCAATCCTTGTGGTATTCACCCGTTCCACTTGTGCGTGCATTAAGTTCAATCTTGGCGGTATTGCTCTTGTGTACGTCAGGTTGTGGTAATAGGTTCTTAGGTGCTCAGCATCACAGGCTCATGTGTTAATAGGTTGCAAGGCTCTCAGGTTGATAGGTGAATAGGATCTCATGTAATTCAGTTTGTCCCATGTGTACTTTCAGGTCGTGTTAAGGAGCCATTGACAAGGCGATGAAGTGCAATGCTCTCATGTGAACAGTTCGCAGTTCGAAGCAGGCAGGCAGGCCTGAACTTCTTTCTGCACCCTTTTCCATGCCGCGAAGTCAGACAGAAATAGGGGCAGGAGCTGCGCAAATCATAATGCAGAAGATTCAAATTTAGCAAATTTACTGTTTAAGCAGAGCTCGTTGCTGATAGATATGCGCATTATTGACAAACTAGGCTTATGCAAGCTGGCCTCGTTTGCTGTGCCCCGCAGGGACTCAGCGTTGTCGACACGGTCAAGGTGATGTTCCTGGTGGGCAGCGCCCTCAACGACGCGGGCGTCGCCTCGTGGGATGCCAAGAGGCACTACAACTTCGCCCGCCCCATCACAATGATTCAGTGCGGCCTTGGCGGCGAGACCGTGGACTCCTGGGTGGGGCCCTACCTGGGCGTGGGCCAGGTGGCAGCTTCCCGATGGCAGCCTTACCAGGCCGCCACATTCGTCACGCCCGCCTTCCCGGGCTACGTCAGCGGCCATTCCACCTTCAGCGCAGCTGCCTCTCGGGCTCTGCAGCTGTTCTTCAATAACGAGGAATACCGGGCGCCCAAGTGCCGCTTGATTCGAGAGGGCCAGGGCCTGTACGAGAGGAGGATCGATGTCGGAGAGCCTGGTTTCGTCGACGGGCTCACAAACGTGCCCAACAACGGACCGCGGACGCCAGGTGAAAACTTAGGGACTCGCCGATGGGGTCCTTGTTGGTTATGATGACGCAATTCCGTTAATTTTGTCGGCCACCCAGGACCATGTTGCTGGCGGACCGCACAAGGATATGACGTCCATTGTTTGCCCCAGTGTTCGCCTCACCAATGTATTAACTATCTGCTTCTGCATTGTGGCATACAAGCCATCCAAAGTGCTATGGTTGGTTCACTTATCGACTGTCTCCCTTTGCTGCGGTGGGCTGTTTTTCGCACGGAAGCCGCACAGCTCGCTTCTAAGTTTTAATTAGCATGGCAGATGGCATTGCCGAGCAGTGCAACGTTGAATGCGCATTCATACCTGTGACCGCTTAAAACCAGAGAAAATCTGAAACACGATTTCAGAGGTTGCTTGTCTAAATCCTAATTTGATATTCTATTGCCGCATGAAGCTGTAGAGTGCAATTCAATCCTTTGGCTCCTGATCAGCTCCTCATTTCGGTGATTCAATGATTGCAGGCTACTCACCTGCAACAGACGTGGTGCTGTGCTGGGAGCGTTGGGAGGACGCCGGCCTGGAGTCGGGCGTCTCGCGGTTCCACGGTGGCATCCACATCAGGGCGGACCACGACTCTGGCGTCGTCATGGGGTACCAAATAGCCGATTTGGCGTTCCAGCAATCTGCGTCGCACTGGGGATACAAGTAGCTATTTAACTTAAGAACTTAGGGGACCCTTTCCTCTAGCGTCGAAAGCCTGGAGATGGCATTTCCTGATTGATGTTTGATGCTTGGCCAAGTACTGGGAAGGTGTGGGACACATCGAATTTCTAAAGGACCGAACCTGTGGCTTAAGTGCCTGGATGGGCGTCAATTGCATTAGACACCGTGCTTGGATGGACAGGGAGGGGGGGGGCAAAATTCCTCTATCCTCGCAAATTATGCCGCCACGAGGGCCGAAGTTTCGGAATGACGAAAAGTGTGAATGGCCCCACTGAGGGAGGCGCTGGCCTGGGGTACATAAATGGGAATCTCTGAGCTGTCTGGTGCGGTGGTGGGAGGGTTACTAAGAGCTGAGCACCGTATTGTAGTTGACATTCTGCATAAGGACCATACCCTTGCAGAGTCGGTGTAATAATGAAGCCCTCTGGCTTTAGGCTGAAAAGGTGTGTTCGGAGCGCCCCATGTCTAATTCAGAGTGGACGGGGCATTGCTCGCAATGTTTCAATTAACCTCGAGAGCATCGGGAAGTGCAAATTCTGTTGGAAAACAAGCAGTATATATATATATATATATATATATATATATATATATAATATCCAATGTATTACATCAAAAGATAAACAAAGGATCTCCCCCACAAAGTGTAAAATATGCAAAGATCCTTTTCCAGTAGAAGCCGATGCAGAAACATAACCAGGAGATGAGAAGAGCATGAATGTTTGAAGAAACATAATGTTCCTGTGGGGGAGTCCTCAGCGCCAATGTGAAAAGTCATGTCAGATAGTGTGCATCATGTAATGTCTCAAATATCCCAGAGTGTACAGAAACGTCCCCCAATGTACCTCATATCCGTTGCTCAATCTGATTCCTAGCATGATCATAACCCTGTCAAGACAAAGGAACAACCCCTCTCAATGTTCAGTATATGCATGTTGACTGGCCCATAGAAACCTGGCCAAGAAGTGGCGACCATATCCAGAGAGAAACTCCCAAGTCCAATCAACATGTCCATATATCAAGTGTTGGATCTCACTGGTTAGTTGCTGCCGCAAAAAAGCAAAACGTGGGTAATTGAAAAGTCGGTGGTTTCTGTCATCAATAGGATGGTGACACCATGTGCAATGGGGGTCATCGATAAGGTGGAAGCGATGGAGATATGCATTAGTAGGATAGTGGCCCATGAGGAATTGAGCCACTAGAGATACATCGCGGCGTGAGAGGTCTTGGGTCCAACTCAAAGAGCGTGAAAACCAAGGCATGACTTCGTATAGCTGGCGACCACAAATGGAAGTATGCCATAATACCTCAAGGCGAGAGACACAGTGCTGACGAATTGAGGTTTTCAATGTCCTATGGGAATGTGGGACAGAGATGAGCTCAAATTGGTCAGGATCAGTGGCCGCCTGATAAGCTATAAAATGTGCAGCATCATGTTCACTAATGCCGATGTGTCCTGGGATCCACCATAGTCGAAGACAAGAATTGTAGGCATGTAAGCTCAACAAGGCTTGGCAAGTGGAGATTGCAATTTGTTGGCCACCTTGTTGACACTGTATGGTTTGTAAGGCAGACATGGGGTTATAGACAATAGTGCACCAACGGAAGAGGGCAAATTGTGGTGCATGACGACAGGCGAGGAGTAGGGCAATCAATTCTGCATGTGCTAGAATGATAGCCCATGAAGCGTATAGCAGTCGAATGACCAATGGTGTTTGTGCCTCTGAAAAAGACAGTAGATGAGCCACATGAGTGTGTATGGGGATGAGGAGTTAGTGACACATTTGTGAATATCCAGAGGTGGTCAGGTGTAGAAGTAGCGCGTGCACGGCGGACACAATCCAATGCTGTTTCCCTATCAAAGAGAGAGGGGGAAAGGCAAGAATCATCAAAAGTGCGGTCAGTGTACCACCAAGAGCGCTTTTCAACATTTTGAAGAATGTGGAGTGGAAGGTGAGTGGGAAGGGCTGTGAGTTCAGATTGAAGAATATCAACTGGCACCATCATATTGTTGACTCCATGTGTGCGAGGAGTCAACTGAAGCATATCATGCCCGTAGGTCAGGTGTCGAAGGTAGAACTCAACAAGATGCTGTCGAATATATAAATCAGTGGGCATGAAGCCAACAATAAATCAAACGGCATCATGTGATGTCGTCCGATAGAGGCCCATAATAGCAATGGCTGCTTGGCGAAGTACAGCATTGATGGGAGCTAACTTGGATGGAAAACGAACAATAGACGACTAAGCGGGAGATGCATAGAACAGAATGGGGAGGATCGTCGCCTCAATCATGCATCAAGCGATGATCAGATGAAAACCCCATGTGGTGGCCAGACCCCAATATAAATGTTGGAGCTTGGTCTTGGCCTTCTGTACCATGTATCTAATATGTGTGTCCCAAGAAAACTTTGAGTCCACCATAACGCCCAGATAACGCATCGAGGAGATACACTCAAGAGGAGTGCCTCCAAGAGAGAATGAGTATCGAGGAGCTCGAACACGCCCTATGATCATGAATTTGCGTTTGTCAATGCCAAATGTAGCTTTCCAACAATATGCCTAATGGGTGAGTGTGCGTGCTACCTGTATTCCCAAAGCATCTCTAGAGGAATCACGAGGGAGCTGCCAGTAGACAGATACATCATCTGCATATGCTTGTGAAGATACTCCCGGAATGACAGAGAGATCTTCAAGCAAGTCTTGGATATATATCAGGAAAAGGATTGGTGACAAGGGGGATCCTTGAGGTACACCCATAAAAAGATGAGGGGTGAGAAAAGCAGATCCCTATATATATATATATACATGTACATATACTGTTGTTTTCCAACAGAATTCGCACTTCCCGATATTTTCCAATATACATCAGGAGATGCTTGCATCATTTTTTGCAGTATTTGTGTTTTGTTTTTTTTGTGACGCTGCATGCAGTGCCTTGGGTGTCTTTCTTAGCACTGGCGACGAGCAGAACAGGTCGTGTTCGGTGATGTAGTATTGTGCATTGATGTTAATGGGGATGTTGACATTCTCCCGCCACTGCTCAAGCTCTCTTTTGCACTTGCTGTGCTTATGCGTTGGTTAGAGTCAGGCCTGTTATTTATGCTTATATTTACATTTTTGCCTTCATATCTTTAGGCGTAAAATGCAAATTTGCAAAAGGGGCTACTTTCGTGTCCGTATTTACGTGTTTGCGGCTCATTGGGATACATATGTTACACGGTGAAAGTCGTGTACAATAATCAGTCTTCCGCTTCTTCGAGCATACGCAACATTGCGTCCACCTGGCCCTCGGCAAGGGCAACGACGTCGCCGCATAAAAATTTGTTTTCTGCTCATCCCAGTGCACCTGGATGCGGCTCCCAGGACTCCTTAAGTTTGTATGTACTGCCTTTATGTACACAGGGGGTATTCATGTAACGTAAATTACGTTGTATTTGCGCACTTTTACGCTTTTTCCACATACAAACGTAAAATACAATCTGAGCTTATGACGTAAATAACAAGTCTTGTTTTAATTCACCCGAAATGATGCTATCACCTTCACGACACAGCAATCTTTCTGGCTTGCTCGCGGCATCTTGGGCCGAGCAGCGGTGCTCGTGAACAAACTCTGTGGATTGAAACAAAACATGTGCTTGCCACCACAGCCCCACATCGTCAGTTGGGTGCAAGGGAGTCTGTTCTGTTACATGACAAATGTAAGTACAAGAGGAACGCAGCTACACAGTAATCGAGGACAAGTGTCTTCACGCAGCAGGAGATGCCGCGCATCCAGGCCACGTGCGTGAGTCGCTCGCCGAGGGAGCGAGCCATGCCCATTCGGTCCAATTCCTGGCTGGTTGACATCTGGCTCAAACTGGTTCAAGAAAACCTTTCGGAACCAATTCGCGAGCGCATTCAGTGTGCACAGGAGGATCACGCGGAAAGGAAAGATCTTCAGTACAGTTGCACACCGGGCGCCGCCCCCTCTCTTCGTGGATGGAACCAGCCGAATATTCTCCGATTGGGCCAACCACAAAGCTCAGTGCAGCTGCGCGCACGCCCAGTCATGGGCACGTGCACGGGGAAATAACGTTGGCCGCGGAAATGCATCGCGGGTCCGCGGAGCTGCACCGAACGTACTGCCAGCTGTTCACCCCGAACTTCGCATCCAGGCCCACCCATTTAGGTGTCCTGCCCGGCCAAAGTTCCCATTCGTTCGTAGCTAGACCCCGTCTCACGCACACCCACCGAAGGGCGGCGCGCAGGCACAATTGCGACTGCGTGGGGGCCATCAAGAACGTCACGCGGCTTCGCACAGGAGGGAATCAAGCTCCCGGGAGGTGAGGAGAGGTCGCAGTTCGGTGAGCAGCGTCAGCGGCGTCGATTTGCAGGGCCCGCGTGCCCGCGGCTCCGGGGCGAATCCACTGCGGCTGACCGCAACCACGATCCAACCATCTAAACCAACGTCCACACGCATCAAACCCAAACCCGGAGACGCAAAGTGTCAGCTTAGATGGTGTCGCTCAGACAGCGCGCACTTTATGGAACGACGCTCGGGTTGCGCCACGCCTGAGCATGTGAACTTTCCCGCGCGCATCGCGAATGCGCCTGGCCCTGTTTGGCGGCATGGCGTCAGAAAAGCGCGCTTGCCGCAGCGGCCAATGGCCTAAACGGTTGGCGAAGCGACCACGCGGGGCGGGGAGCTGGAAGGCGGGTCGAGCGAACTGTGAATTGCCGCCCAAAGACCGTAGCCGCGCAGCAGCACATCCATGGCGGTGCGCGGAGGATGCGAGCGGCTTGCAGACCGCCTGACACAAGACCGTGGCTGATCGGCGCCGTGAGATCTTGAGAGGCCTGACAGCGGCCACTGACGACAAGCGATAACGAAATAACATCCGTGCCCGTCACACACGACGGCCGCTATCACGTCACTCACGACCATTCACGACAGGAAGCGACGAAGCGCCGTTCATGGCCATCGCGATTGACGGGAGCTGTCATGTCAATCGCCGCCCGCCTGCGCCCGGGCGCGCCCGGCATTCGGCGGCGATGGGTACATGATGTGCGCTATGTCATGTGCCCATCAGGGTTGAATGCCAGGGGCCACGCGGGATACGATCGTGAGTGAGTGCCGGTGCAGATCCCAGAGGTTGGTGCCCAGGGGCTTGGTTGTGAAAGAATCCCGAGCCGGCCGATGCGACATGTGCACCTTTGCACGATTCTTCCAGCAAATCCGCCGTTCAGGGTTGAGCCAATGGTTGGACCTGTTTTGATCTTGATTTTTTTGTCCTGTTGAAAATTTTTGTTCAATTCTGAACCAATAAACATTCCAAGTCTGCGTTCATCCATTGTGCTCTTGTCGCAGGCGAAGCGCCATGCGATTCTGGGCTGGCCCTGCGGCGTCCCTCTTCATTGCTTTCGTCCTCTTGTCGTCGGCGGAAGGTGAGAAGCGCGGCACCTGCGCAGGGGCTTTTGAACGACGGTATCAGAATCACCTCAACTCCTTGCAAGAGAATGTATTCTCGCACTCAAGCCGCGACAGCGTATCTCCCCATGTCCAGTTGCCACCTATCGGCGAGAGTCGGGCCTCCCGGGCGGATTAGTTGAGTTGCGTCGGATTCACTGTCGAGAAAAATGGACACCTAGACATGTACTACGATCCAAATATGAGTATCCAGATATGTATCACGGATACGTCATCCACCAGGCCATTCAACATGAAAATGTTTCAAAATCCATAGCTACTGACAACTCTCACTGGCAAAGAAGCTTCCATACCACACAGCTTGTAACTGTGTTCGAATTGCGTTATTATTGTGGAAAGCGCGTATTCAAAGCCTGCAGCGTTTTGAAGCGGGATCAAATTTGGTCCCACAATACGTTTTAAAACGCGTTACCTCGAGGGTGCTTTTGGCGCCATTCCCACCAGTTTTTGTGGGCTCACTTCGCAGGCCGGAAAGGCGGTCGCGCCAACGATGACGACAACGAATACGCAGTCGGCGCGCACGATTATGGGTCCGAGTACGACGACAGCGAGGCGTACGGTGACGACGACGCGTACACCAGGGGCCCTCAGTACAACTCGCCGAAATGCGAGTGGCTTTGCAAGGGCCCGGGCGAATTCCAGACGCCCCTGCCGCGGTGGCCTCCTGGCGAGCTGAACCGGGCGCACGACTGGGGGATTGTCCTCTTGAATCAGGTGAGGTCACTACTTGGTTGGCGTGATGGAGTTCCTGGCAATTCAACATTCAGCATGCATTATCGGACGAACTTGTGGTGCTGTATGCATCTGTGTTGACGACTTTGAACCAATGTTTCAAAACTTTATGTGTCATGTCATGCAAGTGTGAAAGCGTGGTGCATTTGACTGGCCGGGTGCCATTGCCCGTGCCTACAAGTGATCTCAATCGCAATGCATTAAAAGAAATTAAGCGCCCCACGTTGCATGGAAATATCCAAAAGGAGGGATTGCGGATACAATTATACAATTACAATTGTTAAACATGTACAAACGTTGCACGTTAGCAACTGCGTGAAAATAATTTCGCTGACAGCGTACGGTGTGCATGTGCTGATAGATCCACGATAACTTGGACAGATTGTCCCCACCTGGAGTTGCGCGCATCCTCGGCGTGTTCAGTTCCTGCTTGCATGATGTGCTGGCCTATGACGAGGCCTATGGCGTGGCTGCCGTGTACGCCCGGCAGACGCCATTCAGTGGAGGTGAGCGCTCTGGTAGAGGCGCTTCTTGAAATCCCTTCCAACTGACGATTGCAATCATGTTGTGCATATATTGGTGCCATTGTGTGCTGGAAGAATTGCTTACCTCCGCTGCTGGGGCCAGTCTGGAGCATATATTTACTTGAAATGAAATCTGAGTTTGCTGTTATATGTCATTTCAATATATTAACGGAAATGGACATTTCCAGTAGTGATGAATGAACGGGCCGTCACATCAAAATAATGGCGACTTTTCATAAGTATACATGACAAAGTTCTGAACAGATTTACATGGCATCCTAGTCCCTTCCCAAAATGCTCCCTACACTTGTGCCACTGCTCACCCGATTCGCGGATTATTCTACCCGTGTCTTCCAGGACTGGATATAAATCGCGTAATAGACGGCGCCGCATTTGCGGCCATCCGTTACGCGTTCGAAAACGATGCTTCCTTCGAGGGAGCGCTGGCCTTCCTCGACAGTGTATCTCTACCGCCCTTCGGCCCCGGCGGCAGCCATGCGTCATTCACCTTCGGCGCACACATTTGCGAAGAAGTGGTTCAGGCATTTACGGCTGATGGCTTCAAGGTCGATGGAGACCCTCTGACAGGTGAGCGCTTGTATGTTTAAATATACCACAAAATTGTATACCGAAATATTTGTAATATACTGCAAATTTTTGCGCCCCTTGTGGTTTGGGCCTGCACAATGATACGATACAGAGTGTGATTATGTCAACTCCTCCATGTGGTGATAATTTTAGCCGTGGTGCTTCTCAATTGTGGAGATATCACGCCTCTGTATTCGTGAGGCGCTGCAACTCTGTTTCGATATTTTTCTCCGTCTAGAATTATATGCTACATTTGAAATGGCCATTTCTGACCAATTCTATAATTCCCAAAACTTGTTTGAGCATAATGTTTGGAACATGAAATCAAAAACTCTAAAAAGCGCATGCTTTCAGCAATATCAATCATGTATATGCACAGCCTTTGGATGAGTTGGCTAAATGGAAACTCACCCAAGCCATCATTTCTGCCATCGTATCGTTTTTTATATACTCTTTTCCAGTCCATCCACGCAAACATGCGCACTTTTACATACACAAAGGAGTACTGTAAATTGTCTTATTCCCATATCTTCTCTCACGCATGCGTAAGTATGCGCCATGTATGCATAGCGCTAAGATAAGGTGTCAGCAATGACTGCAGTAACTTGATTTTTCGAAGTATAGGATAATTCGTGATCCGATCGTTCATCATAGTCGGGTGTGATCCCACCATGGCCTCTAAGCAAACGAGGACATCAATTCCGTGAAAACAAAATATTTTCATCATTTTGTTTCTTGATAAATGCAGAGACCGCGAGAATTTGCTTTTCGGGTCTTCTGTTTTCCTGGGCAAATATATGAGAAGATGCAATGGGCGCTGTGAGCCAAATGCTGTATAGAACTTCAACGTAATACCACGTCCAGCGTTCTGCACCACTGAAAGCTGTGCAGCAGGAATTTGAAAGGTGCAATCATTCCACTATTGTAGGGGCAATGTTGGATACAGCTGAATTCTATATGCAAGGCGTGATTGGGGTAGCTCTCTCAGTGAACCCATTTGAACACCCCTGAACACCCCATAGCTTCACTGCTTTAGCTGTTTAGTGAGGCATCTGTCGTAGCCACCAGAGGTTCTTCATCGTGTTCTAAGCAGCCCCGTGATCAGAACATTTGGTAGCTCACTTGTTGTGAACCCAAATCTCGAGATGGGCACACAGATTTGGAGTGACACTCGCCGGTGTTTGCGTTGTTGGCAATGATTTTCCCATCTACGAGCCTTTTAACTTGCCTGAGGTTTCGGCAGGCATCACTGACTGCGCGGCAGAAATTAATTCGCTAGATTTCTGGCAGCCCCTGTGCGTCCCCACGTTTTACGGATCACAGGAATGCGAGGTGGGTGTACCCACGGAATGCCCTTTCCAAAATGATTCACACATACTGATTCAAAATCTACGATCAGGCACGCCACCCCCGCCAAGAAGGCAGACATGCGGGATTTTTTGGCCAGGAGTGATGATGCTTTGCTGATTGAAGTTTGTAATTTATTGTTTGTAGTATTACGTGATATCTTTGTGATTGACTACCCGGTCGAAAGCTTTCCCCAGCGTTCTGGGCTAAGCAACATGCCTAGAAAGGCAATATGGCGGGAGACGCGCAGCCTAATAAAGCGCCACATAGACGAGAGATCGGGAAAATTGTCATGAGCGAAGTAAGATGTTCTACAGTTCGGCATGTAGAAATGTGATGCAGGGATATTACTTTTATCTACAAATGTACGTGTGATTTATGAAAATGCGATACTAGCTGCCTGGTATCGCCTCCAGGTGGCGTCCATTCCACACGCCGGAATATGCCACACAAAGCATTGTAACTGGTGCGGCGTATACTTAGCACATGGGATCTGAATCAGCTAGTGTGTTTTGGTCGTTTTATGTTCCGAATAGGTGCAGAACTTCCTGGCTCCTGATGCGTACGCCTGGACCACATTCGCTCTCCCTTACCATGATGCTGTGAGACCCAACGGCCCGCCTCTGTACTCCCAGAACCGGGCGGAGTGGGAGAGACAGGTGTGCTTACCAAATGCGAGGGGACTTCACCCACACGGTTAACCCACTGGGTAATTCAGTGCTGTCCACATGTGCCTCAACATCAAGAATACAATTCCGTGCATCAGAATTTCGATTTGAGGTAAAACTTTGCACTGATCCTATTCTGCTCTTCATTATATGGGACTGCCGGTGGGTGTAGAAAACTTTACTCTGTTGGCAAGATTGTGTGCGGTGAAGAGCAACGCATGGGGATTAATTTTTGATGTACTGTATGAGTACATTTTGCCGAGTCGACTTTGGCCTGGATGATGAGACTTCTGACACATGCCCGTGGCCTCCTGACATTTTGTGCGTGTTTCAGGCGAGGGATATAGTGGACTACTCCGCTAGCCTCTCGGATGTGCCCAAGATGCTGGCCGAATTCTGGGCGGACGGGCCCGACACCACGGCTCCTCCCGGGCATTGGTACAAAATTGCCATGGACGCCTGTGTCAATGAGGTAATAAAACAAGCTGTTCAGTTGCTTCCTTTCTCCAAAGATTCCGATTCGTATGTTGAAGTCAACAATTCAAGTGTACAGCGACGCCGGACCGCGCATTCAAACTTCTCGTGCGTGCGAATTTTCCTTATCGTCCATAATAATATATCACGCTAGAGTTTCTGGCTCGAATGTGCGATGTTGGTTCAGCAACAAAGGTTGGAATTATGTATCTCACTCTTACTATTAAGTTCAGCAGAGAATCAGAAATATTAATTTGTGCAGCAGGAACGTTCTTCCATGTTGAGTCCGAGAAATTCGCTGAAAATAATGCAATTTTCTGTAGTCACTAATTAGTGCATCGCGGGCCCAGAAGCGAAAAGGGGCCATAGCTCGCGGCGTCAGCGCGCAAGCACTTAAGGCTACCACTGAATTCTGCGACCTGCTTTACCCTCATTTTGCTCCCCATGCCCTTCTGCTACGATTCAGCTTTGAATAGAGGAGGGAAAATAGCAAAACTGACAGATGAAAGCAGTTTCAAACCGCAGCAAATGAAGCAAGCTCTTTATTTGCGGCCCGCAGAGGCTCAGCCTTGTGGAGACGGTCAAGGTACTCTTCCTGGTGGGCCACGCCCTCAACGACGCGGGTGTCGCCTCGTGGGACGCCAAACGCCATTTCGATTTCATCCGGCCCATCACCATGATCCAGTGCGGCTTTGGCGGCCAGACCGTGGATGCGTGGGCGGGACCCTATCTTGGCGTGGGCACAGTTTTTGCCTCCCAGTGGCAGCCCTACCAGGCCACCACATTCGTCACGCCCGCCTTCCCGGGCTACGTCAGCGGCCACTCCACCTTCAGCGCAGCCGCTTCGTTGGCCCTGGAGAAGTACTTTGGGAGGGAGTACCTGGCGCCCAAGTGCCACTTGATTCCCGAGGGGGTGAGCCTGTTTGAGAGGAGGATCGACGCTGGGAAGCCGGGGTACATTCCTGGTCTCACGGATGTTCCCAACAATGGGCCGCGGACAAAAGGTAAAGAGGCGGAGTGCTCGCAATTGGAGTGTTTGATTGAGATGGCGCCGACAACGAAAGTTGGTACACTCTTAACCAGAAGTGTTCTCCAATTTCCGCAACATTCAGAAATCCTTTGCTTTGCAAATGAGATTGGTGGAAAACGCAATGCTTACTAGCCTGGCGAATGGCTTCTAACTAACTTTTCTGCAGAGGTTGCGCAGGCACAACTGAGAAGTAGTTCATGGGTGCCCTTGCACTACTGTTTGAAGTTGCGCACCCTTGATATATTCGAAATTGCTTCTAGTTATTTTCCTTCCCTTTTTTATGTCACCGAAATAACAGACCGTATAGCGGTGCAGGCGCACAGTTAGCCGAACTCAGGATGCATTTGCTGGGTCGATTTTCAACTGGTACCTGCGCAATTCCTCAACTCCAAATTCTGCTTGCAGGCTACGCCCCAGGCACAGATGTTGTGCTCTGCTGGGAGCACTGGAAAGATGCCGGCCTGGAGTCGGGGATCTCCCGCTTCCACGGCGGCATCCACATCCTGGCGGACCACGTGGATGGCGTCGACATGGGCTATCAAATCGCCGAAATGGTGTTCCAGCGAAGCCTGTCGTACTGGGGAGCGTAGTTATGTTGCCATTTAATAAGGGAGAAGAACTCCTCTGCATGATCCAGGCCTGGGACCGTCAGGTTATCATGCAATCGAGAAATCGCTGGGCAAATGCGAGGCTGCCTGTGAATTTCTGGGTGGACATCTAGAGCTACAGGCCATTAGCGCATTTGCATGCAGACAGCGTGTTGCATTGGGAAGCGTTGCTCGCTTGCTCCAGGGAGTTGTGGGCATTTCGGAGATTGTTGCGGGTCACCGGACGAGAGAAGAATTCCGAAATATTGGAGTTTGGGATGGCGCTTCGCGTGGATTTGCTCACGTGAGATATTTGAATGGTTGATCTTAGGCCTTTGGTTGGGTTGGCTGAAGATTTGAACGGAGCACGCGAAGCTGATTGCGGCTTCGCTTGCTTGATTTGTCGATGTACTGGAGCGACTTTGTAGAGATGCAAGGAACCCCACTTTCCTGGGTCGCCAAAATACCTGGATGGCCTCCACAATAACGGCAAAAGGAAATTACACGGAGTGCCCCATACGCATTCGGGAGGCGTCCGGAGTAACTATATAGAATGCTCTAAATAATGTTCAGTGCAGGGGGGAAATGTTTAGGAAAGCAAAATCAACAAGTAATTGTCCGCCTGACCGTATTCTAGTCAGCTGAGATATTTCCGCAGTCCCCAGAATCGCATCCGGTGGATGAGAGAGTGCTTGAAGGGTGGGCGCAAAGTCTTTAGATAGTCTGAGCATTGTTTGCGGCCAGGCTTGTTATTTGCGTTCGCGTTTACGTCCTTACGTTTACGTTTTCACGCTTAAAAGCGTAAATTTGCAAAAGAAGCTAATTTTACGGCGGTTTTTACGTTTTTGCGGCTCTTTGTGACACCCAGGTTACACGATGGAAGTTGCGTACAGTGATCATCACTCGGATACCTCGACCGTCCCCAAAACAGCTTCCACTTCCAACTCGGCGAGGGCCACGATGGAGTGGAACAAAATTCGTTTTCTGCCCATTCCAGTGCATCTGGATGCCATTCCTCTGAGTCCGAAGGCTGTATGTACTGTGCTTATGTGCACGGGGCTGTTTTTACGTTGTATTCACGTATTTTCACGCCTTTTTGCGTGTAAAAATGTAAAAAGTATTTTTATGCGTAAGAACGTAATACCATCTGTGTTTACGGCGTAAATAACAAGCCTGTTTGCATCCACGCGGGGTTTGCCCGAATATGTCGAAAGTTTGAGTTTTCTACTGTTCCAACGCGGGCTTTTGTCTTGTGGCTGATGCTATGGGACGATCTGTCTGGTCTCTGCTGTGATGTGTTGCAAGCAACCCTAATTTGACATGTTTTTGGGGAACGGACAAGTGCATGTGGTGTCCCAAAGGCGTGCTGTGAGGTGGCGGTGGCCATCACTAGCAAGAAAAGGACAAAAATAACATTTTCTGCAAACACATATATGTGCATTCCACCAGTCTTCTTCGTGCTAAGGACACGAAAACAACCCAAACTCATAAAATACGTACACGTTTGAACACGTGCTATTTGGCATTTTTCCCTAGTGCATCCAGGCCTGTGAAGGTTGACTCAGTGTGATGGGGTCGCTGTTGATGTTGCTGATGCCGTGCTGTCTTAAATCACTTTTGGCGCGCCTGTTTCTGTCACCGCCATGATCAGTGATGGAGGCCGCTGGAAAGTGCAGTGACGAGAAGGCAATGCGCAACGCCCCTGTTGCAGATTCTGCATGCACATGAACAAAATAAAAGGCGACGTATGCGTAGCACACCTTATTTCTCGTTTCTGGTTCTGCATTCGTTTTGAATTCAAGAATGACGCCAATCTGGTGCACTTTGATCCAAAAATATACGCAACACAACAGCTTGCCATAACATCAAATCACAGAGGTCAAGCGCTTTCGTGCGGTGCCCACATGACATTGATCCACCGTTGCGTCTACCACGACTGTTGAAGAGATTTGCCCGAATGATACTAGTAGTGTCAGAGGAGATTCTCGAGACTCCACATCCAAAAATTCGTGTATAATTGGAACACTTACTGATGTTTATATTCATGTTCGAAGTTTCAGCTATCCAGCTAATCGATTCTGCCCTGGGCTGTGATGGCTGGCCAGTACCGATGGTCTCAAAACTGCTCCCACTGGTTTGTGGCCACCAAGGCCCCTGCGCCAGTAAAAAATATGAGGCGCTCAAGGGGCTTACATGGACAGTTGACCTCTAGAGTCCCAATATGGGTCGACGTCGCCAGATTTCCCGTAACCCGCACTAGCAAAAAGAGGATCAAACAACACATTTTGCGAACACATATGTATGTATTTCATCAGTCTTCTGCACGCTAAAAACACGAAAATAACACAAACTCGTAAACTTTGTGCTCGTTGGAACACGTGTTGCTTGGCCTTTTTTGGGGGACCCTCTTTTTCTTTCTTTTTTTTTGGGGACGTCCCCGCCCTGTGGCCCGTGGCGGTGGCGGGAAAACCGACAGCCCTGCCGACTCAGTCGACGGCTCCATCTCCCTTTGCGATAAACCCCGCCGACACTGCTGACGCCCAGCCATCCTTCCAACCCATTTAGGCGACATCGCCGGGGGGTGCGTCGCCCGTCGCTCCCAGGGACGCCGTACGAGATTGGGCCAATTGCTGCCCCTGGAAGTTGGGGTTGGGTTAAGGGGAAGGTCTCGTGGGGGTCTTCTATGTGTATTTTACATTCAATCGCCACTGTGCAGTTTTTGACCGCCAGCAGAGAGTAAGATTTTGTTAGCTGTGGGATCGCTGAGGGAGAGAAGGACGTATTGTGATAGCTCAGGCCATAGTCACGTTTGGTAGACCTTCAGTAGTTAAAGCTGCTGAGCACTAATTATCTGTAGATACATAGGTGTGGTGATTCCCATGGTGATGTACATCGGTTCAAATACAATCGTTAATTGCCGTGCGGGAGACAAGCCGGTGAGTCGGGAAGCCGGTAAGGTAGAAAATTATGAACCACTGTATACATGTGAGCAATCTCGAGCACCAATGTGTACTTGTGCTTACATTCATGGAATTTGAGAGAGAATTGCAGCAGAGGATGTCGCAGGACCTTTGCAAAAGTCGGAAAATTCCCAGAAGCTGTAATATCAAAATTTCAAACTGCATCAGGATTCAGACCTAAACAACAACAAATCTGCATGGACCCTATTGAGATGTTAGGACTCATTCGCTCATGAGCGACTGCGAATCAGTCTACTTGCCATTGCAAAGTGGAGATGTGGCCCCGGCTGAACACCACAGTTCCCTAAATCTGTCCCTATATGGGCTAGGCTCCACACATGCATACGCTCTGGATAGCTTCTCCACGCTTCTTAGGGAGGTTGTCTATGGTATTGCCCGAGTGAGCTACCAAAACGACTGTGCTCTTATGTAATCGAGTTGGTTTATGATTAAAAGAATAGCACGTTGTGGGTATGACATAGTGTAATAGCACGTATGGATTGGATTGAAAACATTGATGCCTTCGTAACACTACTCAGGAGTAGGCATAATTGCGGCATCTGTGAAAGAACCACGTGCGAATGTGTTAGGTACAGATTGCTTTCAATATTACTTCAGTTTGTTTGCCTGCTGGCTGTGGATTTCTTTTGAAACGCTTGTGCCTACTCTGCGACAGCCTGATTCTGCAAGAGGTTGAGGAAGCACGGAGAAATTTAACGGCAAAAATACGGTTGCTGTGCTGACCAGAAGTATATTGTGCTATGGCAATTGCTGCCATCAAAAAATTTCGTAGGCAAACTTTCTGTATTTACCTGCAACGTGTAAACGCTGATGGCGATTTGGCTGCAATCTTCGACCAGCAGCGACAAAGCAGCACTTAAGCCTTCATCATGGACAGGCACATTTCTAGCCAAAGTGGGCTGCATGCATGCAATACATGGACGGCGCATGTCTTGAGCGTTCTTAGTGCTTGAGCGACGAGGCGACATGCTGTCGCATCGCAGCAGTTATCGTCTTGGTCAGTCGTGTTGCGATGGTTGTCTGCTGCGGTATAGTTGATCGCAAAGCTGTTGCAAGGCTGTCCTAAGTGCCGCGGAAGATTGCAAGAAATGGGCGGTTGGCAACCAACGGTTGGCATACCAATGACGCGGTTAACCGTTCTCAAGTGGCGTGGCTGTGACCTACAATTGGTAGCCGGAAGCAGGCAAGAAGCTGATTTGTGAGCTTGAGGGAGCGCTGGGAGACGGGCCGATCTAGCACGCGAAATAATGGAATGGGAGGTTCCATTTCTGGCTGGAACCAATTCGTGCGATTTAATGTGGCTCGCGCGCCTCCGGGAGTGCATGTGAAGGGTGTTGCCAAGAACCAAGCGCAGTGCTGCTGCTCAAAAGAGCGGCCTGCGTGGCTCCCACGCGTAGGCCCCATCCCTGACCACCCCCATTTTCAGCATCTCGGCGATTGCCCTGGCTCCTGTGACGTCGCCCGGGCGGTTCACTCAAGCCCTTCATTCAAATTTGAAGCGCGTCCAATAAATTGGATGGGCATGATAAGTCAGCCCACATCATTTGCAGTCACGTTGTTCGCGTGTCTCCGCCGGTAGTGTGTATATGAAATGTGCCGTCCCAGACTGGCTGGCACACGGATCAGCGAGTCCATGCTGCCTGTCAGGGCCTGATGACGGGCGGATGATGCGGTGGGGCGCGTAAAACTGTTGCAAGGGCTTCCGCCATTCGGCAATCACTTACCTTTACGAATGCCATCAGATGAATTGTCACCAATCAGGCACGTTGCTGTGACGCGCGCAGCAAGACATGCAAGAACATGCGTGAGTCATTTGCTCTCTGTTGCTTCCCCAATCCTGCAACCTCAATGCGTCCCTTACACTACGCCCTTTGCGCCCGCGCCCGCGCCTGGGCATACAAGTTGAAGCGTGCTGCCCGCATTTGTCCTTATAGCTAGGCTGCCCGTCCATCCACCCATCCCGCGCAAGATGCAGGCGTTGCCGTGTGAATAGAGAGGAGCTCCGAAACTCGGTGAGGGCTGGCAAGCGCTTCGACGCTGTGGTCGACGCAATTTTGGGACGGGGTGCCTTGCGCTGTAACGGCACGGCACAAGCGTGCACCCGCAGCCATTTCAAAGGCATTGTCCATGCGGATCGGCACCTAAAAGATCGACCCTGGAGCGCTGCGTGAGGCGGAAAACGCATTTCCAGCGCCTGTGCTGCTCGCCGCACACGCGTAAAGGTGAAATCGAGCCGCGCGCGCCTGGGGACCCTCACGACATCGTGCGAATGATGGCCATCGACGAAAGGTGTGGGCGGCCGTCGATCACCATGGATCGGCGGAGGGCCGGCGACTGCGGGACGCGAGGTCTCGTTTCGCGCACCGCGAGTGCGCAGGCCGACGCGAGGCATTCGGCTGTTGTGTACGCCGGGATGCGCGGCGTCTGAGCCACACGCTCGGGAATTGCGTCGGCCCATATGGCGGGGATGCCCTCCATCAGCTGGCTCGCATGCCAGTTGTTTGGGCTCTCACTCGTCTGAGAGCAGCCAGTTTATCGTGAATCAATCATTGGTGGTGCGTAATTCTGCTCTCAATCCCCCTCTGGCCGTCGACTGGATCGCGCCTAAGGTCTAGACCAGAACAGCGAGGACGGTCGTTCATGCTAGGAACGTGGGCCCGGCGGGTGGAAGCGGGTGAGGCATGGCGGAAGCGCGCCAACAGGGATGGGAGGCAAGGAATGATTAACCATCGTTGCGGAACGCAGGGCCCTCTTGCCCGCCTGCAAGAAAGTTAGAGCGCAAAACTGTGGGGCACCACCACCATTTGCGTGGACATCCTCGCAGGCGTCCTACTGTCGACGGAAATCGCCGGGGGCAAAGCCGATTGACACGGCACCATTGCCATTAGCACTGCTTGGAAAGTCAATTTGTGAATCCGCCGGGGTGAGGATTCCACAAATTGTTTTAGAAGAGAAGTTTGAATGCGCGTTGAACCAACGTGTCTATCCTGCAGGCGAGGCGCCATGCAGCTCGAGGCGGCCGCCAGAGCGGTCATCGTCGTCGCCTTCGCCTTGTCGGAATCTGTGAAAGGTGGGCGGCGCTGGCTCCTGGGGCGCGACTGTTGAAAACCTGCAGCACTGCGGTCGTGGCGATCGCCGCCTCACATTGGTGTTGCTGTCGCCGCTGAGCGTGTGCTTGTCAGGGCAATATCGAACTCTTGGCGAAGCGACACATGTGCCCCTGACGCGTGGCCAGGAAGCGTCGCGCATGGTGCCGACCGGCGGCTTGCTCAAGTTGCATACAGTCCTATTAATAGCGCATGAGCCGTGTTCGAGCGTATCTTGTTCAAGGCAGCGGGCTGTATGCGAGTTGAGCAAGCCGCCGGTCGGCACCATAAGAATATATTCCTACGGTCGCGTTGATCTAAAGCTCAACTGTTCTTCCGCACGCAATTAACGAGATGACCTAAAGCATGGCAGGACACAAATTCGTAGTCTGCAAGGCCTATGATTATAAATTTATATACTTTTAAGGGTGAGGACTCATCTTGCAGGCCAGCAAGGCGCATTCTCTGGCGGTATCCAGTACAATACTCCGGTCTGCCAGTCGATATGCCAGGATCCGAACGAGTTTGAGACTCCTCTTCCGCAGCAGCCTGCTGGCGAGCTGAACCGGGCGCACGACTGGGGGATCGTCCTCCTGAATCAGGTGAGGACACCAAAAATAAATGGTGCGCTGCTGTGTGTGTCAACAAATTGAAAAACGCTTGGGTGAGCATATTTGGTGAGTAAAGTAGGCCTACTGTACTCACCACTTTCCTGGAAAAGGTTTGCGCTGTTAATGCTTTTGAGTTACTGGCAATGGCTGGCCAATACCTATCGAAGATGCTTGAATAAATTTTCAACTGCTTCACCTGAACTTTTTGGATTCTAAAACTGGATTTGAACATGAACAACAAAATGCCAGGAAGCTTCTGCCTGATGCCTTGAGCCGTAACATTGACGCAAAGGACGCGCGCTGACTGTGATTGCCTTCGCTGACAGATCCAGCGCAACTTCGCCAGACTGTCGCCACCAGGAGTGTCGCGCATCATCGGCGTATTCAGTTCGTGCGTCCATGACACAGTCGCCGCCCAAGGCAACGCTGGGATCCAGCCGGGGTTCTCTAGAACGCAGCCGTTCACGCCAGGTAGCCTTTCCGTTCCATATCCCCTTGGAAGCGCCCGTCAACTCGGGAGTTTTATTGCGTCAAGTGTTGAAACACTGTATCATTTTTTCAGCTGCTGTGTTGAAGTACGGCGCAACAAGTGCATCTGCCGGATCGCGAGCAATTCCAGTTCCAACAGCGCGTAAGTGCGCTGGTGGGTGGCGCAGTGAGTTTAAATGTTTGGATAAATTGAATCCATTTGTTTTGTGTGCTATCTCACAAATGTCAACTCAATCGTGTCATTGCAGACGCGGCGCAAAACTGACTTGATTTTCCTTGCAGATTTGCAGGTCGACAGCGCCATAGACGGTGCTGCCTTCACGGCTATTCGATCCGCGTTCGGAAGCGACCCCTCTTTCCAGGAAGCCGCGGCCTTCCTCGCCAGCGTATCGCCATCGCCACTCGGCCCCCAGCCTTTCGATTTCGGAAGCGGCCCCTCTTTCCAGGAAGCTCAGGCTTTCGTCAACAGCGCGGCGGCAGGGCAATTCGGTACCCAGTCTTCCGCGTTTGCAAGAAGCTCTTCCTTCCAGAGTGGCCAGGGCTTGCAGAAAACAGCATCGTCGTCCCAGCCCAGTTCCGGAATCCCCGTGCAAGGGAGGAGGAACCGTCCGCTCTATGGTTCAGACGGTGGCGACGCCTCGTTCGTTCTCGGTTCCCTCATTTGCGAGGAAGTGGTTCAGGTGTTCACAGCGGATGGCTTCGAGGTGGACGGAGACCCCCTGCCAGGTGCGCGTGTGTCACATTAGAAACGGCATATTTGTGATGCCAATTGCGATGCCGTTTGAGACTAATGGAGGCCAGCACACCTATTTTATGCCATCGCAATCACTGTGATGGCGCCACTTTGTGTCAAAGTGGCATCGCAGTTGGCATCGCAAACATGATGTTTTCTGATAGTTTGTTAATATCTCCCCTGTCATATTGCGACCATGAGAGCAGACAGGGTTTGCGACGTGGTTCCACGTGGTCACCATAACATCGGGGGGTTTCCCAACTTCCAGGACAGTTGACGGTTTTCTTAAACTACACTATAGAATATTACCTGAATTCAGCCGTCGCCTCTTGCCAGGGGAGCTCCGCGCTGGCGCACACGTGCGCCTGGGAGCCTGAAATGGATGCCACCCGTTTTGTGTTCCCATTCAATGTGCTCTATTCCATTCTTAACATTGTCCTGCTGTACTATAAGATGCAGAAGAAGCGCTATTTTTATGCACAGGTGGAATTCGACAACCTGTGCAGGTAGTTGCATAATCGACAGTGTTCCAGCAGGAACAGTGCGTTGATATGGCCGAAACAGCAAAAACGCCGGAAATAGGCAATACTTTGGCCAACGCATCCGCAAAGGCCAAGACGCTGGGAAAGAGACACGAGGGAGGTGCCCACCCCAGCCGAAATGCCGCACGGCCAACAGATTGGGACGGATCGCCAGCCGAAATGGTGCTACCCTCCGCATTTTGGCAGGAAAGAAGGCGTCCAAGGCATCCCCCGCCCCGTTTCTGCCATTTCGGATTGATTCTCAGCCATTTTGGCTGAAGGCAGCCGTCCAAATAGTCGCAGCAGAACCATTTTGGCAAAGAAGGGGCGCCTAGCGCCTCCGGTCCGTTCCCGTTTCGGCCGTTTTGGCTGAAGCCCGTCGCCGAAATGTGTGCAGCAGACCCGTTTCGGCGGAGTGGAGAGCGCCCAACACCCCCCGCCGTTTGGGCCATTGCCACTCACGCTTCAGCCATTTCGGCTGAGCTCTATTGCCGAAACGGGGACAGCGATCTTATGTCGGAAGGGCAAGGGTCGCCCAGCACACCTATAGGGTGGCAACTACCACCCACTGTTTGGGAAGTTTTGGCTCGAGTTCGCAACCATTTCGGGTGCCTCTTGTTGCCGAAATGAGCCACCCAGGTCCAAAGTTGAGGACGACCAGTCGCCCCCACAGTCCCCACATTGGATGTTACAGCTCGAATTGGAGCCATTTTGGCTGCAACTCATTGCAGAGATGGGTTCTGCAGCTACAATTCGGCGATGTGGGGTACGCCCACCGCCCCCATCTGCCCATGCTTTCACTCGTCAAAAACGGCTGGCCGCCATGGTGTTTGGTGGCTGCGCGGAATCGGACAGCGAAACGGCGAGTGCTCAGGTGGCAATGCGGGTGCTAGAGATACCAGCTGAGGCGTATATGGATCGCTTGGATCGTGAACTGATGTCGGACAGGCCCTATGACAGATGTAACATTTACATAGCTCTATTTGGTTCTACTGGCGGCAGGAGGCGATTGTAGAGAGAAACTGGGATGAGCATCCAGTCAGACGACTTGATGCGGTCGCTTTGAGTGAAGATGACACATTCTTGTGTACACTGTCCTTGTAAGCTTTGAAGGTACTGTGGCTGACGCCGGGTCGTTATGTTGTAGCGTATTGCTGGTGTATCAGAACTGATGTCTATGCAGTTGCAGCCATCCCTCATTCATGTACTTCCTCAAAAACTCCAGCTTTTTCATAGCTGCATCCTGACATATATAGCAGCTTGATCCCATGCCATGTTGCCCTTCCTTTGTGCTTTCGACTGTATATTCTGGACCTGATCAATACGTAGGTCTCTTTGTCGGTGTTTTCCATCTTCGATAGTGCAATCAGCGTGTCGTTCCATTGTCGGATGTAACTGGTATCATTAGAGGGTCGTTGTAGTCCGCAGCATCAGGTTTGTAGATGAAATCAATGAAGTTGATGGAGCGGTTCGCCATGCTTTTCAAAGTTTAAATTGATCAATTTCAGCATGGCGCATTGGAAAAATTGCTTTGAATTCAGAAATGGGATGTTAAAGCACACAACAATTATATGCGGCTAGCTTTACATCGATTCAATCGAGCATGGCAATTGGGAGCGCTTGAAAAGATACAAGGTTCATTGCCACCATGCTATGGTTCCATGGGTTGCATATGCTGTGCTACAAAAGTGCTACCAAGTAATATACAATGGCTGCAGCAATTCCCAGACATGTACTGTGGCGCTTTGAACGCGCTAATGGCAAGGACAAGTGTCAAAACGTTGCTCCGCATCCTAGTCATAGGATATAAGAACATCTATATGTGGTCGCTAGAGACTAAGTGATTCTGTTAACCATTTTGGATGCAGGCAATGGGTTTGCTCCCTACGTGCCGTCCAATTCGCCCCAGACTACGGCAGGCATTACGAACTGTCCGGTGGAAATTACTTCGGTGGATTTCTGGCAGCCATTGTGCGTTCCTGCTTTTGAAGCAGGCTCTGGAATCGGATCGCAGAACTGCATTGTAAGCAGGTTCACCGAAGCTCTGCTTTCCCATTTTCGGCAACATATTATGAGATTTCGCTTGCAGCCCTTGGTGTAATGCAAGACACGGAGAATGACCTTTTAGGATTGCGTGTGTCTGGCATTTGCGATTCGGCTGCTAATGCTGACAGCGACAATGTGTTTCCTGCATATTTCTATGCGGGTGCATGTTTTACCTTGGAGCGCTATTGCGGTAGTAACCAGAAAACGATATGGAAGTATATGCGACGCGCAAGGGCACGATTATTGCCAATCTGTGAAACAGTGACGAACGATTTGGGGATGTAAGATCATGACGACTGTATATACGGTAGGCAACATGCCACACATGGCGATAATTTATGGGAATATTGAGATGCGCTCATGCAGATGAGCCAATACCCGCTTTTTGTTTTAGAATTTCAGCTCCTCCATTGAGTATGCACTGCACCCAATCCATATCCGTACGCTAAATTGACAATCACGGGCTTTCGTCGTGTCGATACATAGGTGCAAGATTTCCTGTCTCCTGATGCAGGCGCCTGGACGGCGTTTGCCCTGCCTTCCGTTGATGCCGTGAGGCCCCTTGGTCCGCCTACGTTCAGTCAAAATCCTGAAGAGTTTTTGAGACAGGTACGTGATTGCCGTGCTTGACCCCGCGTCCGCATGGATTCATTTTCTAGCAACATCATTTTAGATATAAGTGCCATCCATATCCGTCTTCGCGGCGCACGGACCATTGCCCTTAGTCTCGGCCTTGCGCTACGAAGGCTTAGCTGACTTATCACCCGTCCTGCTGTTTCTTCTGGGGCCCAACGGTGGATCGAGAAGCACCCGGAGAGTTTAAAGCCAATGCGCGTGAAAGCCTTTCACAGAGAACGTCCTTCAGTCCCTTATCACATTGTTTGGATACGAAGTACTTGCAGTGCAGACACGAGCTTATGTCTCATGGATTTTGGTGTGCAAATCAGGCACGCGAAATTGTGGACTTCTCCAGCAACCTGTCAGACATCCCCAAGATGCTCGCCGAGTTCTGGGCGGACGGACCCGACACCACGGCCCCTGCCGGCCACTGGTTCAAAATCATGCTGGACGCAGCCGCCAATCAGGTATGATCGGTGACCATTATGTTCCTGCGATTCCGTGATTGTTACTAAGGCGTCGGTTTCTTGTGTACATGGTGTCAGACCCCGTGCAGGTGGGTTTCTGCCTGGGAATTTCCCTTGTCGTCAATTCGAAATCCCGGGAGGAAATGGTCGGCTCGTCCCCGCAATGTGGTCCCCATAAAGGCCGTTGAGCCGTGGCCCCCACTCGATGCCCACGGTTCAGTTGTACTGAAGCATTCAAAATGAGCAGATGCCACTTGTTGCCGCTGTTTCACGGCCATAAGCCACACGCGTGTGTACTAAAATGGACATTCAAATGTGCTAGAATGTATTAGTGGACAAGGCGAATTTGTGTTGGAAAAGCAATGGTCGAGTGAGTTCGGAGAACGCTTGCTCAAAGCGTTCGTCTCACTGCGGCGAACTTTGCTCATACAATTCTAGAATGTGCGCGATATACATTTCGAAGCAGTTCTCATGAACCACCGTCTTGAATATTTCACCGGGCAGAAGCGAATGCTGTTAGCACAGAAGCTCGTGGCATAACTTGGTCTGAATGCGGAAAAGGCGTGCAACAGACAAGCCAAAGCGACATTGTCTTCTGTACCACGCAGAGGCTCAGCATTGAAGACACTGCCAAGTTGATGTTCCTCGTGGACAATGCGCTCAACGACGCGGGTGTCGCCTCATGGGACGCCAAGCGCTTCTTCAACTTCGCCCGCCCCATCACCATGATCCAGTGCGGCCTTGGCGGCGAGACCGTGGAGGCCTGGTTGGGGCCTTACCTCGGTGTGGGCGCAATGGACGCCTCTGCCTGGCAGCCCTACCAGGCCACCACATTCGTCACACCCGCCTTCGCAGGGTACGTCAGCGGCCACTCCACCTTCAGCGCCGCTGCCTACAAGGCTCTGGAATTATTTTTTGGTGGGAACGAGTACCTAGCGCCCAAGTGTTTCTTGATTCCGGAGGGCATGGGCCTGTACGAGAAGAGGATAGACGCTGGGATGCCCGGATACATACCTGGGCTTACGGACAACCCCAACCAAGGACCGCGGACGCAAGGTAGGATGAATGACGTTGTTTCTGCTCAAAATTGTTGACTGACTTCCAGTGAATCATGCATCTTGTTGCTCTCGATAAGGCATTTGTTCTACGAGAACATGCTTCTGTTATTCGCCAAATGGTGCCCCCGATACAAAGTTCATGCCACATGGCATTAGGTATGTATTTTTTGCACCGCAGCCTGCTCATACCATTTTTCATCTGCATCCATTTATTTCAGCATTTTTCAACATGATGTAGGTTACTCCCCGGGCACAGACGTCGTGTTGTGCTGGCAGCGCTGGGAGGACGCCGGCCTGGAGTCGGGCGTCTCCCGTTTCCACGGCGGCATCCACATCATGGCGGATCACGTCGATGGCGTCGACATGGGTGTGAGGATCGCGGAACTGGCGTTTTCTCAGTCTCTGTCGCTTTGGGGGCAGTATTAGCTATTCGTCATTTATTCCACGGAAAATGTATCCCAAACTCAATTGTTGGAAGTTTGAAACTCAGGAACGCAGCCACAGCTATCACTCAAACGGCAAAGCGCTGTGCAGCTGCGCGACGTTTGATTTCATGGAAGGCGGAACCAGCAGCAGAAATGGCAGCAATGGCCATTCGCGTATGGGGACGCTGCGATCGATTGGGTTAGTATGCTGTGGGTGCGTTTTGAATTGGAGATTATTGAAATAACACTCTTGGTCAATGCCCACACCAGTGGGTGCATCAGTTGATGTAATAACCTCATCGGGGAGGGTTGGAGGGAGAAATCCACCGTATCGTTGCATGGATTGCGGACGTAACGAGGTGAGCCTGTATCCGTTTTGCTGTTTTTAAGAAATAAAATTACACTGTTGCCAGCAAATGCATGGCAATATGTGAACTACAAATCTGCGACAAACCTATAATCATATCTATCATGCTGAAGTAGTTTAGACTGGTAAATTGGTTCCAATGGCTTGATTCTGGAAACCGCGAGCTTCGCGTGCTCACCATATTGAAGTATTTGACTGTGAGTGCAGTATACTTTAATTCCCGCTGACTGAAGGCCTACATAAAAGCAATCGAATGCTGAAATTTTGCTTTCATTATGTGATACACACCTGATATTTTCGAGATGCCACGATTCAATCACGTCCGTTGGAGACGCGTTTTGCACTGGACTTCGGATATGGGCCTTTCCCCGTCACATTCACAATGCCTCGCAGCGACCAGCATTCTGCTGGGAAATTTTCTTGAAGACTAAGCAGATGCCCCCCACCTGGCGGGCATGTTGGAAGTGCCTGGCTGAGGAAAAAGGCATGGACTGGTAACCCTGGTTTCTTGCATCGCTTTGGCCGTCTCCTGGGATCAATTCAATGCAATCTAACAACACGTTGCCGCAATTAATGGGCCGAATGACGCCTGCGCAATGGCGATCCCCTTCTCACATGTGAAAGCGTGTGCTTGTATGGCAGTACTATTAGGCCTGGCACAACCGTGCTCTGAAGTTGCCCTCTGGCGGGCACCGGGCTGGTGTAGTGCTGCAAAGCAGCGAATGGCCATACAACGTGCAGGCTACTCGCCTCCAGGTGTTGCACAATGAGACTTGCCTGTGCTGCGAGCCCACAGAGACAGGGAGCAACCTCCATTCGTTTGCGAGGCGCGTCTGCCATCGCGGAGCATCAGTCAGTGCAGGGGCAAGGGAGATCTTGGAATATCTGGCGACACAGTGTTGCAGACTCCAAGTTTCAGCGTTCCCTGCCAACTTCCGAGGTGTTGGTCAGTCAATGACTATTAACGGGTGTTCTTTGTACTTGCAATTCCTGATGGAGTCTGGGATGGTGGATTTGGCTCTGGAATGGACGCCAGGCATATACAGGTATGATCGCACTTGCAAGTGATGCTTCACACCGTGGCGAAGGGCGCGCGGATTGGCTTGAACAGTTATCATATCCGCCTGCTTGTGTATCAAACTCTGGAAGGGCCGCAATCGCGACCGTCACCCAAGGCACGTAGCGATCCCCTTGTCGTCAGAGATTTTGTTCATCGTTGAAAAGCCTGCGTCATGGCATGAGAAACGGAATGTTCTCATTGCGTTCGAGGATGCAGTCATCACAAGGGTGTACCCTCAACCGCACGTGCGGTTGAGATTGCCTCGCGTGTGCCCTCTGCGTACCTGGCTTTGTCTGTTATACGAGTAAGTCGCGCGCAGTGCGGCAGTGCCAATGTGCAAGCACTCTGTTGGCGGGCCCTCCTGTCACGTCGGCCAAGGACATGAGGAGACGAATGATACAATAATAGTATACACACGAAGGCGACTCAACAAGCGACTCCGCCCAACTCTGGGATTCTCGTAAACCCGCCTGGGGACCATGGGAAGCTTCCCGCCCCATCGGCCTCATGTCCTGCGTCTCTTCCCTGATTCGACACGCCACTCGCAATTGGTCTGTTTGGGCCTGCCACAGCCTCTCGCGTCGAATGGTGTACGTCGGACATACCAGTCCCAACGTCGCGGTACGATGCCCAACGTCGCGGGTCACAGGGGGTACGTTGGCCGGGGTTGCGCGTGTGTCCCCTCGCCAGAAATCTGCCTCGCACGTACAACCCTGCAATCCCGACTATAAAGCTGTCGCCTTGGTGTCACACCTTCGTAGGTAAACTGCCACCCATCCTGCCTACCAGCGACAGGCGCGGCGGCCCTGCGACCCAACCAGGGTCGCGAGCACCGGAGGGCTTTCCCGAGCAAGGGAGTCGTTGCCGCGGGGACTGAGAGAGGAGCTCCGCCGGCTGGTGAGCGGCGTCGGTATGCTGCACCCACGCACGTTTGCCCTGGGGATATCGCGGGAGGTCTCAGACTGGGCTTATCCCCATGGCGTCGTCCGTGCGAACCGCTCTCCGCTGCAGACAGATACCGACGCGCTTGCCGCGCCTGGGCACATTGTCATGTTAGATGCTGAGCGTGTGAAGTCGCGAGGCCGTCCGGTGGCTCTCGTATCTCGGTGGCGGCCGGGATAGATCGGCGGAAGCGCCGCGGTCGCCAGGCGCGGGATGTTGTTTTCAGGCATCGCGAATGCGCAGTGTGAACGGAGCCCACTCAATTTTTGCATGGCATTGGAGCCGCTACCTCCGCGAAAGACATGGCCCAAGGCCAGGCGGTGGAGTTGGCCGGCAGGGCCGCGGAGCGATGGATCGAAAGAGCAGCGGAACGTGGCGCGGATAGGCCAGTCGCGGGGCGACCCGTGCTGTACATGGCGATGCCCGGCGGCCCATGCGATCCATGGGGATGCGCGAAGGCTCCGAGGCAGCCGACATGGGGCCCGCGGAGATGTGGCTCGGATGGCAACTCGCGTCGGACGGCGGTCAGTGCCCACTTACTCATCGCCTTTGAAAAGCCGCCATCAAGTCGGCAAGATGTATGGCCCTCCGCCGGTGTGCCATGAGCGCGGCTGCCGCGAGCCTCGTTGAAGTGTTTGGGTGGGGGGGTGGGAGCCGCGGTCACAGGCGCGGGGGCCCGACCCCAGCGCGCGAATGGGGGCGGAAGGGCTGGTTTGGCGCAGTCGGAGAATGCGTCGCCGTCCAATGAGGTTGAAAGGAGTCCAGGGCGCCAAAGGGTGGAGACCGGGCGGGCGCCGATGGGCAATAGACATCCTGGGAAGGGGCCCATCGATGCGGCATCCACGGTTTCCTGCTGAGCCTCCCGGTGTCGTGTTTCGAAAATGCGCGGGCGGACGGACCCATTTACTTGCGCACATGTGTTGCGTGCGACGTGAGAGATCTGCCCGTTGACGCGATGTGTCCGTGCCGCAGCTGAGCCACCATGAGACTCGGGGCGACCGCCAAGGCGCTCATCTTCATCGCCTTGTTGATATCTGTGCGAGGTGAGCAACGCGGGCGCCTGACCGGCGATCTGCGGCTGCCAGGAACACGGGCGCCGGTGCTGGTGTGCATGCATTGCCCGTCGGTGGGGTGCCTGCTGCTTGCTACTGTCAGAGCGGTGCATGCCATTTTAAGCGAATTGCTGCAGCGCGGCACGTGCAGACTTTGAACGTCGAAAGACTGGAGCCACGGCCATCTGCCCATAGGGAACATTTTTACGAGGACTGCACGTGAAGGTTGTGGTCGTGTCAACATCCGATTCAACGAGACATGGGTAGAAAACGACAATTTCGCGGTGGCATGTGACACCGATCCACGCCATTATAGTTGATTTTATGCCATTGCAGCCACTGCGATGGCGCCGCTTTCGTCAATTAATTGATGATGATTGATTAATTGTTGTCAAATATTTGGCATCGCGTTTGGTACCACCAGAATATTGTTTTTGCTAGTGCAAATGAGCCGCACTCTTGTGACCCTCTTACCACCATTCGACCATAATTTCAGTTTTCAAGCTCCATTCCACCATGATTGTGGTCGTGCCAACACGTGATTCAACGACACCCGTATCTAACACGGACAAATGTGCCCCGTCCTCCTCTGCAGCCCAGGATGACGACGACGGCGACGACGACGACAGCAGCAGCAGCAACAACAGTCGCCGCAACAGCGGGGGCGACGACGACGAGGAAGACAACCAAGCCGACTACGGAAGCGCCGCACCTAGCAATGCAGGCGGTGGCCTTGGGTCCAATGCAGGGGGCGGAGGCCGCGGCATCGGCCTTGGAGCCAACGGAGGGGGCAGAATAGGAGGTAATGCGGGCATCGGAGCAGGAGCTAACGGGGGCATTAATGTGGGAGGCGAAGCTGGCGGCAATGTGGGAGGCAATGTGGGAGGCAATGCGGGAGGCAATGTGGGGGACAATGTGGGAGGCAATTTGGGAGGCAATGCGGGTATCGGTGCCGGCGGCAACGCCGGAAACGACGAAGACTATTACGCATACTCGCCATACCCGTACGACTACGAAGACGACGAGAACGCGGGCATCGCGGGTGCGGTCGGCGGGGGCACCGGCGTCGCGGACAGCATCCAGGGCGTGCTTTCCAACGGCATTCAGTTGAACATCCCGGAGTGCGAGACGATATGCCAGGATCCTAACGAGTTCGAGACGCCCCTGCCGCCGCAGCCTCGGTTCGAGCTGAACCGGGCGCACGATTGGGGCATCGTCCTCCTCAACCAGGTGGGGAAGCAACTGTGCGCTGCGCGCTTGAATGCTTCTGTGTTGGACGATCGATGGAATGGCGAACAAAGAAAACGGTGTGCGCACGTATGGTGGATGCTTCTGGAAGCATCCCGTCGTTGTTGCAGCCGCATGGTGGGGATGCTTGGAAGCAGGTTTGGATTTCACGTCCGCGTTTACGTTCTCACTCGTAAAACGTAAATTTGAGAAAGGGCCTATTTTTAGGGTCATTTTTACGCCTTTGTGGCTCATTGGGACACCCAGGTTACACTATGAAAATCGTGTGCAATTTCCAGTCCTCCACCATCTCCAGCACCCGCAACACAATCTTCACCTCGACCTTGGCAAGAGCGATGATGTCGTGTAGCAGAAGCTCGTTTTCTGCACCTTTCAGGCTGTTTGGCTGCCACTCCCTGGACTCCGCAAGTCTGTTCTGTCCTTATGTACACGAGACTGCATTTACGTTGTATTTACGTAATTTTACGCGTTTTGTGCATTAAAACGTAAAAACTATTTTACGCGCAAAAGCCTAAATACGATCAGTTGTTACAGCGTACAAAACAGGCCCGCTTGCAAGGGATGCCCGTTGCAAACTTTGCGTGTTAGTTTGCTGTCTCCTTATTGGAACTCAAGACTGCTGAATGTTGCAACACCACTTGTCGGTTTTCTGAACCGAAAGCGATTGCTAAGAAACATGCTGTCGATTAAAGTTGTCACGGGTTGCTAAGCCGTGGAAGGAGGCAGTTGAAGAGGATGGGATTCGCTGACGGTGTGCCGTCGCTGTCAACAGATCATGCAGAACTTCGACAGGCTGACGCCGCCTGGAGTCGGGCGCGTGATCGGCGTATTCAGTTCCTGCGTGCACGACGCCGTGGCCGCCCAAGGCGATTTTGGCATGACACCGGGATTTGCCACACCCAGGCAGGCCGCGCCAGGTAGGAGCTCCGTGGGCACCCTTCACTAGCAAAAAAGAACCAAATGACACTTTTGCGAACACAAGTAAAACACATTTCCTCAAAAACCTGCATGCTAAGAATACAAAACTAATTCAAAACCGTAATATCTGTGCACGTTTGAGCACGTGTTATTTGGCACTTTTTTTTCCTAGTGCTTTGAAGGCTTCGCATACGCCCTGGCATGCCCAACTGCTCAGCGAATTTGGTGTCCGTTGCGGACAACTGCCCTGCACATGCGCTCATCGGATACAAAAGGCACCTCAGCGTGGCGCTGCACTTCACCAGACGGGATACAAGCCCAATCGCCTCGGCGCTGTGGATAATCTCAGCCGCCAGTTCCGAAGTTTCGCAGGTTAATGCCATTAACGCGCGCCATTGTGCCGTAATTGCAATGTTGAAAACCAAGCTTACGCGTTGGTCTGTTTGCGTCCCTCAGGCTTGCAAGTAGACCGCGTCATAGACGGTGCCGCGTTCACGGCCATCCAAGCGGCGTTCGAAAATGACCCCTCTTTCCAGGGCGCCCAGGCCTTCCTGGACCAGGTGTCGCCATCCCAGGTTGGCCCGCAGTCCTTCCCTCGAGGGCGTGGGCGTGGACGGCGCAGGGGTAGGGGCCGCGGACAAGGTAGGAGGGGCCTGAAGCAGCTCGGCGGTGGCACTTTTGGCAGCGACCCTGCGTTCGTCCTCGGCAGAGAGGTTTGCGAGGAAGTGATCCAGATTTTCACGGCCGACGGTGCCGAGGTCGACGGAGACGATCTGCCAGGTGAGGTTGTGTCCACTTCCAGTCGCCATGCTGCGCGGGAATAAGCGACAACGTTGCATTGCGTGGATCGGTGCGAGGCAGCGTTGTGTGACCCTAGTCCTGGTGACGGTGTTTCTCGCGTGCAGTGTGAACAGAGCGGTCGCTCTAAGTTGTAAGCTCAGTGTTGATACCTACTTCAAGCAAGTTCTGCATTGCCACAAATGAGTCATTCCGAGGTCTGCCCGTTGCTGGTCACGGACTGTTGCTCCGGCGTGTACAGCATCGCTTCCGGAGTACAGGAACAATCAGTAGCGGCAAGCCGTCACTTTTGAACGACAGCAATAGTAAGGGCAATCTGCAGCTTGACCTGGACTGATGTTTACCCCTATGTGCGCCATAGGCAATGGCTTCCCCGAGTTCGTTCCGGAGAATTTGCCGCAGACCACGGCAGGCATCACGGACTGTCCGGTGGAAATCCTTTCATTGGATTTCTGGCAGCCGCTGTGCGTCCCCGACTTCCTGGAGGATGGAGGAGTCGGCTCGCAGCAATGCACAGTAGGCATTCCCCAAAACGCCATTGTTCTAAGTGCCAGCAGCACATTCAGGGAGCTCGCGTACAGGCGAATGGAAAAGGCACCGGAAGCGATGATTCCGTAGCACGATGTGCGACACACCGTGGCATCGCCATGCCCTATGCCCATGTTTCGGGAGGGTACCATGTGGGATACGGTATTCTTGTAGAGATGCAAGCAGATGCAATGTGCGAGCTCGTGCACTGTCGAAGGTTGCGCAGATCCGCAATTTGAGGAAGCATTACCTCCTCGAATCAATCGATTCACATCGATCTGATCGATGCGATACATTGCGATGCCACATGGGGCGATGACATGCGCGCGTGCAGAAGAAAGTCAACAGAAATCTATGTGCAAAATCCCAACACTGGTTTTGTGTCATGCGCAGCGTCCAGCCAGCATTTGGGATCAGGATTGACAGTGACAGGTGTGCCGTGACATCTTTGTAGGTGCAAGAGTTCCAATCTCCTAATGCGGGTCTGTGGACGACGTTCGCGCTGCCTACCGGTGATGCCGTGAGGCCCCCTGGCCCACCTAGGTTCAGCACAGACCCGGATGAGTATATCAGACAGGTGTGGGTCAGCGGCGTTGCCCCCCCCCTTTGCGCGTATCCTTTAGTAACCAGCCCTTTGGATTTGACTGCTATCCATGCATGTATTTACAGCACACGCCGCTGTTTGAACTTCGGCGTCGCATCGCCAAAGACCGTGGTTTTCCGCCGGCCACAGCGCTCAGCATCTGCACCCACAGGCGTGGGCTCATTGTTGTGTGGATTGTTGGTGTGGATCTCAGGCACGAGAAATCGTGGAGTTCTCCACATTCCTGTCAGATGTGCCCAAGATGCTCGCTGAGTTCTGGGCGGACGGACCTGACACCACAGCTCCTCCCGGCCACTGGTTCAGAATCACGCTCGACTCGGCTGTCAATGAGGTAACAATTTCACTATGGCGATTTGCCATTGTCCTTCATTTCAGCAAGCTTCTCGAAGACCTTAGCTTCGAGTGTGCATCATGTGAGAACTCAAGCTGGGCGGTCTTCTACCTGCAGTAAATGACTTTCGGCGATATACGTGTGGTCTACGGGAATCTGCGCGATATCGCCGGACACCTGTGGCACAAGACTTGAAATCTTCAAAACCATTCGCCATGCCGCAGAGGTTGAGACAGAAGAATGGCGCGCAAAACCGACTGTAAATTCACTGCAGCGGGACAACGCAAAATTTTCCTGCTGTGCCCCGCAGAGGCTCAGCCTGGAGAACACCGTGAGGCTCATGTTCCTGATGGGCAACGCCCTCAACGACGCCGGCGTCGCGTCTTGGGACGCCAAGGCCTTCTTCAACTCCGCCCGCCCCATCACCATGATCCAGTGCGGCTTGAGCGGCGAGACACTTGACGCCTGGCGGGGCCCCTACCTCGGCGTGGGCGACATTGAAGCCTCGGTGTGGCAGCCCTACCAGGCCAGCACATTCGTCACGCCCGCCTTCGCGGGTTACGTAAGCGGCCACTCCACCTTCAGCGCAGCTGCATTCCGAGCCCTGGAGCTGTTCTACAATACCGACGAGTACCTGGCGCCCAAGTGCCGCCTGATTCCGCAGGGCACCAGCCTGTACGAGGGGAGGATCGACGCCGGAATGCCCGGGTTCATTCCGGGGCTCACGGACATCCCCAACCAAGGACCGCGGACGCAAGGTGGGGATTCAGGGTCACCATTTGCAATAGCGAATTTCAAGTCAGGCCTTCTGTCTTTATATTTCTTTTCATTTTCAAGTATGCAGCCAAAATATACCCATCGGATGTTGTCTGCATTTTATGGATCTGCCATCAAGAAGTACAACGTGCTGCTGCACATTGTGCTCATTGGCGCTCAATACATCCTCACAGGAAGTCCCCCCCCCCCCGGTTCATGTTTTCTTGATCAATGGCATAATGTGTACCTGAATAGATCCTAGTGTGTAAGAATTCTGGATGTTAGTAAACACGAGCATTAATTTTCTCTTTTAAATTAATCCGTGTGAATTTGCTGAATCCCTTTTGCCTGTCGCCTGCAGGTTTCTCCCCAGCCACGGATGTCGTTCTCTGCTGGCAGACCTGGGAGGCCTCGGGCCTGGAGTCGGGCATCTCTCGCTTCCCCGGCGGCATCCACATCACGGAGGACCACTTTGATGGCGTCGACATTGGTGTGGAAATCGCGGAACTGGTGTTCGACCAAGCCCTGACATTGTGGGGTCAGTAGACTGGAGGGCCTTTCTCCGCGTGCAGAGTTTGAGAACACCACAACCAGGCAGATCAGGGAGCATACGAAAGGTTGCTTTTTGCTTTTTAATTCGAAGTGCACTAGGGTTGAGATTAAATGCCAGGAAGGGTGCACGTTGTACTAGGACACAGGGATCGCGTGGGCCGCTGGATTTTTATTGTTCCGGCAGTTGTTGTCCACAGACGGCTGGAGAAAGTTAAGGCAACACAGGATCATGGGATGGTGCTTCTGACGGATGCGCTCTCTTCGCATATATCATGGAGGTGCATAAATTTTTCGGGTGGAAGCCAGGATGGGGCTGCAAGCCACATAACGTTTAGATTTCGATGAGGCGACGCAACGCTCGGCTCGTTCTACTGAGCCACTGCAAGAATAAAGCAACGCTGCTCATTAGATACGTCGAATAAGAAGCAAGAATAATTCTGTGCGATTATAGTTTTCAGCCTGGAAACAGGATGATTTGGGATCTCAGGGCATTTTGTTGGGGTTAGACCCTCCATATCTTGCACTCGTTAGCTGGTGTGGTCGATTTGAAATGCAGGATTGTATGATTCATCAAGGAACAAATTTCTGCCTTGCGGTTTGCATATGAGAGAACAATGCTGGGAGTTTGTGTAAGCTATTATTTTCTTATAATATTTGACATGAAATCATGATGCATTCATCCATGTGATGCACTTTGCCTACACAAGACCTCCTCTCATGCTACCGCAGTATCCAAAAATAACATGGCAAAACGTCCACAGTTCATGAAATCACTCTCAGCCGAGCTCTGGATTTTTTTTGCATATTATAATGGTTACATTTGTTCCACATTGGCCCCTCAGCTGCACGTTAGAATGCTATAGAACAGCACGGAAGAAATTTTCACCATTCACAACTCCACATTCAGATGTTCGACTCTCACAAAATGCATACAACAAGTCGCGCACAAGCCGTTTGAACCCGCTACTCGTTAAATTTCAACAACCTTTCATAAATTGAGAAGAACTGCTTATGCGAAGCTCCATTTCAGCCACAAAATATCTCGATCTGCTCCTGCACGCAGCTGCGTATAAGTTTCAGAGGGATTTTCTTCCGGAAAAGATGCGCAAACGGCACCCATACCTGCGTGGGCTATGCTATTGCACATGAATTCTTGGCACTTATTTCAAGGCATCCATTAAGAATCCTGGCTTACGTGCACGTCTGATTCTGGGCACAAGATGGCACTGTAGTGTAATTCTGAATTTCAAGCATACTTTGCAAAAGGGAGATACCCAGGGCTCTTTAGAGCATGCAATTCGCGCAAGTCAACTCGTTCGTCAAGAATATGTGCAGCAACAATGTTTTACTAAGAGAGTGGATATAAATAACAGTGTGAACAATCACTGACATTTCTCACCTCTGGAGAATGCTGCCAGAAAAGGAGAGTACCCGAAAATGCCAATCGTGAGCATTGACATGTCATTCGCGCATTGCACGCATGTCGCCCGCACATTGCATGCATGCCGCCATTGAGAGTAACCTTGTCTAGGAGGAACCAGTTCAATCCGTCAAGGGTCATCCAATGTGACCAACGGTTTTGATAGATGCGCCTCGCAGCGGGGATACTATATAGTAGCCCATATATGGTCTCTCGTGCAAGACACACAACTCAAGTTATGCTGAAGGTGGGTGTGTCCACAGGTCAATGCATAGTGCCCATCGCGATGGCAGCCCGGTGGAACAGGCGCCCGGAACTGATCTTGCTGTCGCTACGCGTTCGCGCCATTATTTGCAACACCCCGCCGACGCGTCTGTGATGAAGCAGGAATGAAGCCCCTGTAAAACCGATCATCAAATACCTGGAAGTGCAATTGGAGCCCCCAAGCGTCCTGTCGTGGTAGATTGACTGACTTGTGCTGGTGGTATAGTATGCCGCCATGGCAACGCGCTTGCGAGCATAGCCGGGAATTCTGCAGCCATGGAAGTCTTGTACATCTTGGATTTCTGTGCAGAATTGGCTAAAGCTCCTGGCCAACTCGTATAATAGGCTTTGATCATGTATGCACTAATTCAAGCGGAGAAGTGAATTAGAAACGCTCTTGAGAAGAAACTGATGATGCCATTTTTAACATGCTACAAATGAGCGAAATGTTGCGGGACAACAAGCAGTGGAACCTGAAAACATGGCTAAAAAGATGTTATCGCCGAATACAGAATGAGGTCTTTTGCTCACTATTGTGTTTTCACGTGGTAATATATTATTGCAGTACAATTGGTTTTCAGCAGTATGCACGCCATACACCTAACAACCTAAAAAAGCAAGATGATGACACGTACAAACGCGAGAGGGATACGATACATGAATCTGAGGCTCGAAAATCTTTGCAGTGCGCGTCAATGAGCCCTTTCACCTACTTATTAAATGCCAATTAATCTATTACGAGATTTGAAATCCGAAAATGAGGATCTTTTCATGCTGATGAAATCTTGATCGATGAGCGATCAATCTGCACACACCCACGCCGCGCACTCCAACCTCGCCAAACGTATGATATCCTTGATGTGCATATCGAGGGTTATGTATATAGCATGACACGGGAATCGCATCTTGGATAATCATGCACTAGCTATGGCTACCTTATCTTATTCGACACCCGTTGAAGGATATGGTACTCCATACAATACTGAATATCCAGGATCTGGGACATTCTTCAACGCCTTCGCAGACACGCTCCCCAACCACAGCAGAAAAACGCAGGGGCACAATCTGGCATTTGCCTAAAGGCAGTAACAAAAGGTATATTTTTTAGGGAGGCATTATTTTGGGATCTAAGGCACACACATTCAATTTTTGAAATCGGATTGAAGCAAACAAATTTGAAGTACCGCAAGGATGGTGCCTTTACCAAAGGGCAAAGATGTGATCAACAAACACATAAAGCAACTGATCGTTTTACTTGTGAATAATAAGCATTTTATCAGCCATCATTGTAATTGTAAGGTAGAATACGAAGCTAATACCTCCCGTCAATCTCCCGAGAACAAGATCACAAGGAGATAGTGCTATCTCCCGGGAGGCCCAAAAGGAAACTTTGACTGCGTTAGTCACAGTCGCATAGCTAGCACTTTCGATATCATCAAAATTGCCCCTATCCACTTCAACCACAACTCCATTGCTGCATTCGATTTACAGCATTAACGCCGTGATGCAGTATGCTCTGCTGAACTTCTGCCATCTTCTTTTAATCCTTATGGCACTTTGTTGCAGATAACACGCTTGGTATTTGCAGCCTAAACTCTGAGCACTTACGCGTGTTTGCGAGCAACGTTTCGTCTTTACTCGTAAATGCACGCTAAAATACGCAAATTCTGATTAGATGTACATAAAGACAGTGCATGTAGTCTCAGGGAATCCGGCAAGCGATAGATAGATGTGCTGTAGTGTGCAGCAAAAGATCTTTCCTCAGCAAGGTCATTGCCCTTGCCGAAGGAGAGGTGGACGCTGTGTTGTGGGTGTTAGAGGAGGCGGAGGCCTGGCCATTGTTTGCAACTTCATCATGTGAACTGGGCGCCCAGGCGAGCTGTTGAAATACACAAATACAGCCGTGAAAGTATCCCTTTTGCAAATTACGTTTTGGGTCAAAAAACAGAAAACGCCAAAACCTAAAGACCAACCATGACAAATGAGACAACAAATAGACAACAAATAGGCATTCTCGGTTACCATTTCAACAGTAACGCAACAACATGTTAGCATTCGTATTCTCCGTAGAACGCCTTAAGCATATCTTTTAATGTATTGAACTTTGCATCCAAACAAATGTTTTATCGATTTGACAAAGCCAACTATTGTTGCTGCTCAATCTGGAGATCCATATGGTCTAGCAGTCTGAACGACCAGCCAATCATTACTCTGAACGGCTTGATCAAATGCCGCCAAGCACCCTTTGATCCTGTAAGATCTGGCTGTCTCTTTTAGAATGACAATGATTTTGTATCAATGGCTTCTTTATCTTGAGTGCTTGCAAAAGATACATACCTGCCACTTTCGAAGACAAATTTTTATTGTCGTGCAATCCACGTGGTACCTATCCACATTTTTATATTGCAAATTGTACATCTCTGCCACCTTCTCACTACGGGTCCACAAGATGCTAATGTTCCATAGAACAGATGGCAAGCATTCGGTCGAATTTCAGCAAATATGGGCATAACTTTGGCAAGCTGCCATTTGTGTTAGGTTGTAAGGAAGGCGTTGAACACTTCTTGAGGGAAATAGTCTGAGTGCTCGCCATGGACCATCGCAAATAATCAAGTTGCATGTGGATAGCTAAAATTGAATGCCTGAAAAAATGGAGCCACTCTGGCGCCTTTATCAGAATTAGCAATCCTTTGCAGATTTGAAAAGAGTTGAAGGCAGTTTGATACACAGTTTTCGGGCACGGCCAGCACCGTGGACATTGTGACAATTTCCAACCAACTAATATAATTTTTGCACGTGTCATCAAATTAAGTGTTTTGGGACCCTAATTATTTTTTTAGGTTACTGGCACATGCTTAGAACTCCTGCTATTATCCTTGATATTACTGAACCACGGCACACATTCCCACTTTGATTGATCTTGCTGGACTCAGCCAATGTAGTCTTTTTGGTTGGATTCAACTTTCACGATCATCCAAACATTGTCGCATTAAAGTTGTCTGCCGTGCGAATAATTATATTTAGGCTTTGTTACAGCGGAGCGGGGTGTGAAGCAAAATGTGTAGACAATTGTTGATACCGTCATGGAGCACAGGAGATAGGAAGAGAATGCCTCGATCTTGCCGGCTTTACCCCTCTTGCGCTCTTTTATTTGAGAGCATTGGTAAGAGGTTGGACGCCTTTGGATGGTGGATAAAGCATCGTGGGAACTTGTGATTATGTAATACGGCTGTGAGCCGCGGAATGTAAAGGGCAAGAACTTCGATAATGGGCAACCGTTTCTGCTATCTACTTCTTGCTTGGAAACTGTTTACAGACTACTGGCGATTGCCCTTCTGATTGACACACACTAATAAAAAATAGGCCAGATGACACAGTCCTAACATGGTCTGCCCGAAATCCAACTGTGTGCTTTCGGCAAATGTGGTCCCGAAACTGCGCAATTAATACACACATCAACAAAATTCTAACCGCGTATACTAGGAAACCGTATAGTTTACACAGTTGTTTGAGGGTACATGGTCGAAACTCTGTCAATGTGTGCACTAACTGCGTTGTTTTGGGACCATATTTGCCAACAGTACACAGTTGGATTTTCAGCAGACCGTGTCAGAATTGTGTCATATAGCCTCTTTTATCCTAGTGACATACAGGCAGACTGCCGCCGGCGATCGATCTGCTAAGGGGCAACCATGTCCATGTCGCATGGCGGCTGCAAGAACGCCGTGCCAATTGAGCCAGGCGAATCACCAGGGCGTTCCCGATCCACTGCACAAAGTGCATGCTGAAACTGCCCCAACAAAATTGATGCTTCCGAGCCAATCGAGCGGCCCCTTACAGCAACCTTAACAGGACTATTAGCGACACCCAAAATTATGCTGCTATCCTCGTTCCTATTTCTAGAATGCTCTTTTTGGGAATCTTGTTTCATTTCCATGTCGTATCATACGACCAAGTTATGTTTTCTCCTTCAGCGGAAGCTCATTTGTATACACCTCTATAGGAGAGAAGAGCGATTCCGCCATGCCCCTTTGCAGGCCCCCTTCAGCCGGCAACCCTTCTTTAAACACATCAAGAGAAGCTGAAATGAAGAGCGGTGCTGTTTGCTATGTTGGAAGGCTCTACAACTATCTCTCAGCACGGCGCATGCAACGCCCACTCGCGGGCAATGTGCCAAATGGCGTTGACGTGGTGTGGTTCCACGACTATGGGGCACAGGGAATGCCAAAACTAAATGCCGGTCCTGTGTGGACTCTTGCCGTCCCGGCTTGGGGGCCATATCTGCAAGACAACTTTCCTGCAGGGAGATTAGAGCCAAAACCTTGCTTGCACTTGCCCAATGTACGCAGAGAAGCTTGGTAGCCTAAATCTAGCAACGCGCCTCCTTATATCACGCTTGGGAAATACCGCTCTACTCATCAGATTGTTGCCATAAGCACATGCGCTTATGTATGGACTGATGTGCATCAGTCTGCCAATCAATTGTCTATCCTTCCTTTCTCTAGTTATCCTTGAGAACGGTCACCCTTTCGGAAAACTCCCTGAAGTTGCTCTAACAATAGCTTAGGTGCCGCCTATTTATCCCCGAAAGTAATTACCACACTCTTGGTTGTTGCCCTAAAGTTCTCAGATACCCTGCAGCTCGCCTATTTCAAGTGAGGGTGGAGGATCCAGTGGTACTTACATGATGTTGTGTGTGAGTCCTCCCCAAGGCTCAGGTGACTTGAACGTACTCAACGCCAAGACAATTACCCTACACATCAGAAGGTAGACTGGTAGCCTTCCTGTTGTCTTCTTGCCTCAATATCCATTGAAGTTATTACGACCCGGCGTTCCAGTAGACCAACCCTAATATGACTAATCCCAGTAGCCATTCATCATAGCACTCTAATACAACTAACTCAGCAACGAAATCAGCCAATCGCCATGGTGTCCTTTGAAGTCGCCCCAGGCGGTGGCCCCAGATGTGCGAGTCTTGTCAATCGTCCACTCCAATAGAATTGATATTCTTGCGATGCCGACTGCAATGGCATTTGAAAATTATTGATGGCATCACAGCCGCTTTTGCGCAGCCGAAATTACTGTGATGGAGCTACTTATTGTCGCAAAGGCATCGCAGTTGGCATCGCAAACATCGTGTTTCTGATAGCGCCAGGGATCTCAGGTAAGTGAGGTACAATTCATTCAGATTGATGCAATGACCTTCGGATGACTGAAGGACTCCAATATGAAGGCTGTAATGCGTCGAATTCGTTTCTTTTCATATCATCTTACTCTCGCTCGTGACGTCCATTTGAGCAAGTCGCAGATCGGACAATGTCTTTGTTACACAGGTATTATATTGAAGCTCTATAGGAGGCAGCAACTTTCGCAATAAATCAAAACGGCAACTGGCAACTTACCTGCGGTAAGTTTAGGCTTCCTTTGATGCAACATTTCACCATAGAAAAGCGCAAAAGAGTACCAAAGTTGGGAATGGAGGCTTGCATATGGACGTATAGAAAACAGAGGAATTATTGTAACAAAGTCGATTCAGGAAATGCGCTCTCTCCCCTCTCCTCCGAAGCGCCAAGCCTTATTTGTTGCCTAAACACCATTGGTATCCATTTTGTGGCAAGGAATTTTCCGTGTAAGATTGCCATGTGTGAGATATGATGGTATGTTGCGCTCATGGTCATTTAATAAGAGCGGGTGGGACCGAAAGTTGGTTGCATGAGACGCGAACTTCAGGAAGAAAATTTTGACCATTTTTTCTTCAAGCCAGCCCACACACTCTCCATGGAACTATACCGAGTTTCGAGAGGCGAGAATGCTGGACACTGGTGCAACGAAAACACCAAATAATAAAGTACCTATGGAGAATGAAATCAAATTATTGCAGTTCTTTTCGATCCTACACACCTGTGTCATTGTGCGCACAGTTACATGCAACTCCGCGCCTTCCCCAGTACATTCGATGTGGGCATTTAAATGCACGAGCTGTGGGTCATCGAGTAAAATGAATTCACTGGCTCACAATAGGCTACTCTAACATTTTCCTAATATCGACAATCGAAAGAAATACACTCTCCAAGCGTGAACCGGTTGCTATTTCCATTGCGGAGTAACATCCTAGAAAGTGCGTTTCAAACGATGGGCTTTGGAAAACCATCAGAGTTTTCCAAAACCACAGTGCTTGAAATAGTAAAAATCAAGCAGCATTTGGGAAAATGTGAATTGAGTCATCAGTTTAATGGAAATAGTGTATTAACTAAGCCTCATTATTGGGTGACAAAGCCGATTGCTGAGCTCGGTTTGCTTACATTAATAGATCCAAGTATTTCTTAGACATATTGGCTTACGTTTGGCTTACCTGATACGAACCTGGGAATCTCTTTCATTGGTGTTTTGGCAATTTAATTTGACGGTTAATTTTCTCAATAGCTTGACCGGCAGACCGATTGATTGAGGAGTGCGACAAAGATGCCCCAGCCCACATGTTTATCTTTTGAAGAAAATTGAAACGCCGAGTCGCAGTAGATTGCACAGGACATCTCCTAGAACCCTATATTTCTTGGTATGATCAATGATCGTATTGGAACTAGGTGCTCGCAGTTTATCTCCAAAATTTAGCACGGCAAATATTGTGCTATCGCTTCCGCACCCCTTTCTAGAATGTAACGAAATGGGGACTATAGGGGCGACACGAATCCTAGCGACTGGGGGTATTGGAGATTTAAGAATAGATTGCCAAATCAGCAAATTTCAAAGCTGTAAAAATATCCAGGGAGCCTTGAAGGACACCTGCCTAGGACCAATCACCCTGCACTGCTGCTATAAAATGGGTAAATGCAGTATTTTATTGTGGTGACCAGATTAAATCTAACATTTGTTTTATGTGATTCTACCGCAGTACAGAGACACATCAGAGAGCGCTTTCAATCTCACGGGAGATGCACGATTTCACGTCAATTTCAGGCGCGCAGCCATTGATTACATAGAATTCCGGGAATTTTGGTTCTTTTATCTAGCAATCATTTTCTTGCATCAAAATCTCTTGCACTGCAAATTGACCACAACAGTCGCGCACCAACAGATTGCACAAAATTCCAGGATTATTCTCCTTTATGCACACCATCAGGTAGCAGTCTTGGTTCTTGAAGCAAAATATCTCAACACTTCCACCTGACCACCTCATTTCTGGGAATAAATGATCTAGTGGTCCCATCTCAAGGCCATCCGCCCAGCAATCTGAAATCAACTGTTCTCCGCCTGAAGTCAATAGCTTCGCAAAATTTATTCGCCTGCGTCCTTTCCTCCGAGCAGCGTCGTATTGTTCTCTCAGTGGGCCCTCGCGTCGCCAATCCGAAATTCTAAATATATAGCGTAGTGAATACAGTATTCTGTGCTGCCACCAAAATGCTTAGGCACGCCCTCTTAAATACACCAGGCGAGCGCACCCTCAGGAGCTCCATTCCTGAATCCGCCGGCTCCAAAACTCGTCTTCTACGGCAATTTCCGGCCGGGTGGCCAGCCGGCAACGCACAACAACGGCCGAAGCAATCAAAACTCTCCGACCCACGAGAGCACGATATCTAGGCATAACTGATGCCCATACTTACATTATTCTACTGATTTATGCATTTATAATAACATTCCATCCGCCATGAATTCAGCCATCTGCACGTGTGCAGCCGACCTTGAATTGAAAGAAGCGGAGTAAGGGCTGTCCTGGCTACCGATTCCACAGCGCCAGCGCTTGGTCGTACACTATCTCCGCGACTTCCACGCCGACGTCGACGCCATCGAAGTGGTCCTCCGTGATGTGGATGCCGCCGGGGAACCGAGAGATGCCCGACTCCAGGCCAGAGGCCTCCCAGGTCTGCCAGCAGAGAACGACGTCCGTGGCAGGGGAGAAACCTGTGACATGCAATCGGAGGTGAGTCGACGTGCGCGTGCGAAATGAACTTAGTGGACAGAGCACAGCGGAGATCGGCTGCGTTACTGCTGAGATGAAAATAGGAGGATCAATGGGGGCGTCGAAAGTGCGCAGAAGGCGAATTGCTAATAATAGGTTGTGACGCGCACCAAAGCGGTGAATTAGAAGAAAGAGGTTTTGAGCAAAATTGATCGGAATGGGATACACCGAGACATGGAAGTCCACAATGACGAGGTATCTGTCGCGAATGCATCTCTTGGACACCGAGGGCGCGAAGCGGTCGCTATGCGGAAACCACCCACCAGACACGAAAGGGCTTTTTATAATCAGCAGGCCAAACACCCAATTCCAGGAGTAGATCCTGAAACCCACCTGGAGTGCGCGGTCCTTGGTTGGGGATGTCCGTGAGCCCCGGAATGAACCCGGGCATCCCGGCGTCGATCCTCCCCTCGTACAGGCTGGTGCCCTGCGGAATCAGGCGGCACTTGGGCGCCAGGTACTCGTCGGTTTGGTAGTACAGCTCCAGGGCTCGGAAGGCAGCTGCGCTGAAGGTGGAGTGGCCGCTGACGTAGCCGGCGAAGGCGGGCGTGACGAACGTGCTGGCCTGGTAGGGCTGCCACAACGAGGCTTCGATTTCGCCCACGCCGAGGTAGGGGCCCCTCCAGGCGATCAGGTTCTCGTCGCTCAGGCCGCACTGGATCATGGTGATGGGGCGGGCGGAGTTGAAGAAGACCTTGGCATCCCAAGACGCGACGCCGGCGTCGTTGAGGGCGTTGCCCATCAGGAACATGAGCCTCACGGTGCGCACAAGACTGAGCCTCTGTGGAGCACAGCGCAAAGAAGTTGCTCCCGGGTTGAGCGTAATTTCGCAAGCGAATTTTCCTTGTTCGCTTACCGAGGCCGAGATCATGTGGAAAAGGAATGGGTTGAAACAATCAAGGCATACCGACAGTTTGGAACTGAATACCGGGTACATGTACGCATTATTCTTCGCCACCTCGCGCTGGAAGCATTAAATGCAGGTGCCCGACTGCCCGGCAACAAGTATGGGTGAAGAGCACCCTTTCTCGCAGTCGCATTTGTGACAGCGCCCATTGAGTATTGTTGCGTCCATTCAATATGTTCAGCGGCTCCTGGCGCACGTATTCCGGAAATTAGCCCCCCGTCCACTGAAGCACATTTCCACACCCTTATGTACAGAGTACATCGGGCAGCCGGCCGATTTCTTTGACCATATTTTCGGTTGGCAAGATATGCGGCGGAAACACAGCGGGAACTGGGCTTCTCCGTCGGCCAGGCGCGAACATTATGGCCTTCACAAAAGTTGGAAACGCAGAGAACGCCATGGCAACCACTCATGGTGATCATTTTACCTCATTGACAGCCGAGTCTAGCATGATTCTGAACCAGTGGCCGGGAGGCGCCGTGGTGTCGGGTCCGTCCGCCCAGAACTCGGCGAGCATCTTGGGGATATCCGACAGGAATGTGGAGAACTCCACGATCTCCCTTGCCTGAATTCAACACAGCCGTGAGACAATGGGCTCATAAACGCAGACAGGCGCAGGGGGCGGGTGCAAAATCAACATTGTTGTTTAATAATGTGACGCCGAATTCAGACAGTGGGCGTGTTGCAAACGCATGTGTGCATGGACTCAAATCCAGAGGGATCCGAAAAGGATCCACGCGAAATGAAATGCCTAAAACAGCAGGTACACACCTGTCTGATAAACTCATCCGGGTCCTCGCTGAAAGTTGGTGGGCCAGGGGGCCTCAAGGCATCGCCAGAAGGCAGAGCGAACGTCGTCCACTGGGGCGCATCAGGAGACTGGAACTCTTGAACCTACGCGGATGACACGGCAACACATGTCACTGCCAATTCTGATTCCAGATGTTGAGGCGTTGGGCATTACGCAACCCAGCCCGAGGTTTGATGCCCACAGGCACGTAATAACGAGCATATTCGGACACGCACGTTGTCTTCCCGTAGCGCATTTTCATGTGCGACATTCATAGCAGAGCATCTGTGCAATCGCTTCGAGGTGATATTTCTTCCAGTTGCCCGTTGTGTGTCACCTTCGCGTACTGCATCTGCTTGTTCGGCACCTTGACAGTGCTAAGAATGCTGCTGCCCACGGCGATTACCAACGCTGCTGCTGTGTGGGCCACACATCGCACAGAGGGATCATGGCATCAGGAACAAGTGCATCTTGCGCTATTCTACTCACAGTGCACTGCTGCGAACCCACTCCGCCGTCCACCAGGAAGTCAGGAACGCACAGTGGCTGCCAGAAATCCAGATTGATGATTTCCGCCGGGCAGTCCGTGATGCCCGCCGTGGTCTGCGGCAGGTTGGCCGGGACGAAATCGGGGAACACATTGCCTGTGGCAAGCATAGTGATGAGCATCACTAGCGAGAAACAGGACCAAATAATACATTTTGCGAAACACATATACACGCATTTCATCAGTTTTTTTGCATGCTAACAACACGGAGACAACCCAAACCCGTAAACTTTGTACACGTTTGAACACGTGTCATTCGTCTCCTGGTGAAACCGCCGGTCCCAAACAGGTGATGGGCGTCATTGCACAGTGCGCGTTCTCGGAACCATTGCCCTGCGCGCATGGCAGCCGAGAGGCACCATTGCGAGGACTGCGATAGCGCAAAGCTGTGTCCCACAGATCCACGCGAAGCAACACTGCCTTGCATGGCCGCATGGCGTGGCGGCCGAAAACGGACACAACCTCACCTGGCAGCTCGTCTCCGTCGACCCTGAAACCGTCGGCTGTGAAAAACTGGATGACTTCCTCGCAAACGTCTCTGCCGAGGACGAACGCGGGGTCGCTGCCAAAAGTGCCACCGCCGAATTGCTTCAGCCCCCTCCTTCCGGTTCCGCGGCCCCGCCCCCCGCGCTGCCCGCGGCCCCGCCCCCGGCGCCGCCCCCGGCCCCGCCCCTGAGGGAAGGACTGAGGGCCGACCTGCGACGGCGACACCTGGTCCAAGAAGGCCACAGCGCCCTGGAAGGAAGCGTCGTTTTCGAACGCGGCTCGGATGGCCGTGAAGGCGGCACCGTCAATGACGCGGTCCAACTGCAGGCCTGGACACAGGCAGACAACCGCGCTGATTCATGTTTGCAACGACGAGGGGAACTTCAGCCGAGGGACGTAGATTACGCGCAAATCCGCGTTGATTGCACCGGTGTCCCAGTTTTGAAACCGCAGCCCGTTCACGCATCACACAATCGCGCGGGTGTGAAGTGATGGTGCTCGAAATCCCGCGGGCGCATGAACGGTCCTTCCTCAAAATGGACGCAGGATTCGCAGACCACTTCGGGGCGCCGGAAGTGCAAAGAATGCAGACCCATGATTTAGGACTGCAATACGAAGGGCGGCTTTCAAGGACCACATACCTGGAGCGGCCTGCCTGGGTGTAGAGAACGCCGGCAAATCTCCAAAGTCGCCTTGGGCGGCCACGGCGTCGTACACGCAGGAACTGAATACGCCGATCACACGCCCCACTCCAGGCGGCGTCAGCCTGTTGAAATTTTGCATGATCTGTTGACACAGCCCAAGCGCCGTCAGCGAGAGCATTCTGCGCAAATGTGGCGAGTCCAATGGGCCAAACTGCAGGATGAAATTTGGTGGGCAGGTTGCTCGTCCGCACTCGCTTCCAAGCCTGAGTATCCGGGAAGGTGCCCAGAAAGCCGTCGACGAAATGAAACCGCATTTTGCGGCGGCCATCTCTCGCAAACAATGGGAACTATTCCCAGGACGCAATTACACAATCAGCTCAATCGCCCTCTCCTGACGTATCCATGTGCACAGCATTTTTGCTGTGCAGCATTTCCAATCGACCCACACAACGGAGTTTCATGGCACCACCAGTTTGTGTCCCCACCTGGTTCAGGAGGACGATGCCCCAGTCGTGCGCCCGGTTCAGCTCGAACAGCGGCTGCGGTGGCAGAGGGGTCTCGAACTCGTTCTGATCCTGGCAGATGGACTCGCATTCCGGGATGTTGAACTGGACGCCGCCGGAGAGCACGCCCTGAATGCTGTCAGCAATCCCGGTGCTCTCGACGCCTCCGCCGTTCCCGCCCTCGTCGTCCCCCTCGTACGGGTAGTCGTATTGGTACTGTCCGTACCCGCCCCCATACTGGTCGCCGCCGAGAGTGGGGCCGGACGCGGGACCGTAGTCGGCGACGTACTCGGGAGGGACGTAGTCCTCCTCATCGTCGCCGCTGCTGCTACGACGGTTGTTGTTCCCGCGGGGGCGGCTGTCGTCGTCGTCGTCGGCTGCGAGACGCAACGGCGGACGATCGTCCGGGTCAGAAACGGTCGCGTTTGCGAATGCCTCGATCAGTCTGGAGTCGCCACGAAACAGAGTCGATGCGCACTGACATGTAATCCTGGGAATCCTGGAGTCCATACGCGAAAGCGCCCAATCTGTACCCAAGTGTTCGCGACGGCGCGCTGGCTGTGGCTGGAGACATTCGCCATTCAAGATCGGCGCACCACGTGGCGGCGATTCATGCACCGCCCAGACGTGAGCGCGCGGGCGGCACTTCCCCGACGAGCAAATCTGAACGGCATCACCGGTGCCGTGGCCGCGGGGGACATTCCCTTGACGAGCATCATCTGAACAGCATCCCCGGCACTGTGCGCGCGGCCGGCGTTCCACTGAGCAGCACTTTCTGAACAATGCCACCGGCTCCTGCGCTGAGCGAACCCGACAATCGGTGATGGCCACGCGGGGGCCTGCGCTGCTCACCTCGCACGGTCGCCAACAGGGCGAGGACGATGGCCGCCTTGGCGGCCGTCCCGAATCGCATGGTGGCTGACCTGCGCCATGGACACATTGGTTAGCCCACATCTTCTCAGGCTGCAAATGTTTGGAAAGGTAGACCGCCCCCCGCTCATTCCCAAAGCGCCTCTGGAGAGCTCGCCATGCCCATGGCCATGTCAAACATCGGCAAACCCCCCATCCCTCGTTTCTTTCGACCGACGTCCGCTTGTGCATCGGCCTCCGTCACCCGTGGCGGCCACCACGCTTTTGGCGCCCTGACTTCCCCGTGAACGCAGTGCACGTCTGCCCTTCTTCGCGCAACGCCCAGCCCCCTCTTGCACCCATGATCGGGCGCCCATGCCTGGCCCTGTTTCAGGCTTCCCACGCTTGGGCCCACTGTTCCAACGTTCCCATACAAGGGACCCACCGAGGTGCGCGACGGCCGCGCCTGATGGCGGACTCGCTGGCGGAATGACACATTACTGATTTGAGGGCGGCGCACAGACGCGATGAGTAAGTGTGGTGCCGCGTACCGTCCACCGGGGGTTATCGCCTGGCGCGACCTCGCCACGCCGCCCAATGTCGGCGGCCTCAGAGCCGTCGCGCATCGCCATGGATCGCATGGGCCGCCGTGGCTGATTGGTTAGCGCCATGTTTCCCTGTTCGCGGGACCCGTCGCTCTGCAGCCTGGCGGCTGCAATTGTCGCACGGCGATTGGGCGGCCCACGATAAGAAAGCTGCGGTTCCGGCGCCATCCCCGCAACATGTCGCCACTCGTTCAGCCGGAGATTTGTTTCGCGACGTCGGTCAACAAAAAACCGCGCCTTGCGACCGCAGCGCTGTCGATCCGTCTGTCGACCCTTCCCGATCGCGGCAAGGCGCAAGGCCAATCGGATGCGTCGCTGTGCAATGCACTCCATCGCAAATGCTGCGCAGCACCAAGCGCTCCAGTGCAGGTCTTTCACGGCGGCGACCCCACGGGGATGGGCGCCGGTACGCGACCCCATGCATGGGGCCAGTCCGCTCCCACGCGCCTCATCCCAAGCGGCGACAGCGCAAGCATGGAGGAAGCAGATCGACGCCGCTCACCGAACGGCGGCGCTCCTCTTGGTCTCCGCGACGGGGAGTTCTTTAGCCGGCTGGCCTTCCAGCGCTCGCGACTCTGCTGGAGCCGCGGCGAGGCGGCTGTGCCGATGGCTGGTAGGCAGGATGGGCAGTGTACCTACGGATGGAGTGGCCCCAGTGCAGGTTTATATAGGGCGTGGGCGGCACATTTCTGGTGCGCGGACCGACACGATGCTCCCAATGTAGCACAACGTTGGGTGTCCACCTGGGACGTTGGGCATGGCTGTTTCCAACGCATGTCCCGCGCCTTCAATGGCTGCGCCTGATTACATTCCGTCGTACCTTATGCGACCCCGCCGATCACGATTTGGCCTAATCGGGCTGCCACATA